GCCTTTGCTCCAAACAGTTGGAGCTTTGGGGGATTTGGGTGGGGTCCGTCATCTCAAGACGAGGCGATGTAGCACTAATTCGGTCCAGCAACATGCCCGAGTCATTCGCCAACTGCGCTTAGCATGCTTCGCAATATCGGGCAAGTTCAACGCTATGTGAAACCCAAATTTCATGGATGCCGGCCCTTCGTTCTTAGCTGGAGCAACAGGCTCCTATGGCCCTATACGTGAGGGGAGGAGCCTGTCTCGCGTGATCAAGACCTACAGCATCCTACTGCAAACCTGGGAGCACATGGGGCGGGAACCGCCAGGGGCATTTTGGATGGCTGGGTCAAACCTGCAGGTTCAACAAGCATGCCCCCCCGCCAAGAAAAAGAGCAGAAACGGGGGGTTGACCGTTTAGGATGTGGCAACACACCACCGACCAAGAACAGAACACTGTACCTTAATGTTTTGCAGAAACTGGGCGATCGGTGTATCATGTGTATCGGTCTCAGAGTATCGGTGCGGGTTGCTTTTCAAACGCTGTTCGCACCATATGGGGCATACAGTCTGACCAAACCTGATCAATGAAACAACGTCCCATATGCACAACTGTACGGTTCTTTGGAGCTTAACATGACGAGTTGTTCGCACCTGTACCGGATCGAGCTTGGTGTTGTGCGCTTTTCCGCCTCCCTGCAACATTTCATAGGCCCCGCAATACTTGGCGAAGACCTTCTCCAAGAGCGGCGCCCAAAGGGACCGAGCGCGGCAAAAGAGGGGCGAGTCCGCATGATGAGGGCCTCAGTGCATCGAACTTCGGGCAGGTTTTCGGTGCGTTTGGGTCGGTGATGGGGAGAGTCGCGTTCCAGGACGCTCCAGGTATACCTTCTCAGGAAATCTCAGGAATGCCAGGTGGGATCCCAGTGGAAGAAGTCTCTCTTCAGTGACCCTCTCCTTATGCTGAGGAGCTGGTGGATTTGTAGCATGGCACCAGGTCATCCACCTCAAAGACCTTCCAGGCCCGCTCGGCGAACTCAAACAAGCAAATCTCGTAGCGCCCATTGGGAGTGATGTCCTTCGTCTTGAAGATCCGATCTCTCAAGTGCGAAGGGTACTCCCCCAAGGCTGCCAGGGCGGAGATGAACCAACAATTCCCAATCCCACCTTGATTGATATCAAAGGGATCCTCATCAAAGAGTTGCGGCTTCTCTGTGAGCTCCGACAGCCTGGTCCAAACCTGGCGGCCAGAACGAACGTCGTTCCAAACGGTGGACATCGACCAGCACGGTTTGGACCGGTAGTAAGGACCGGTTTCGCGACGGAGCGGACCGCACGGGATGCAATCCATCGGTCAAAACGAATAAAAACTGCCTTCCATGAGTCGTTCATCCCAAGGCACAATCTTATCGCTCCCTCCGAACTTCTCCGCCTTCTCACGGAAAAAGGTCTCTCCGAAACTGGCTTCTGAAGGAGGAAAGTCTGGATCCACCCACGGTTCAACCTCACTGAAGCTAGGAGTGTCATCCACAACCGCCTCCCGCACCCAAATCGATCGAATCGATCTACCCCGGTCTTTGGAAGTCGAACGTAGGGGTGAAATTCCCAATCACTCGCCCAGCAGTTTCCATGGTTGCTTCATTCGACCCAGTCTAGAAAAGAACAAACAATACCGTTTAGTAACAGACTGTATACATACGGTATACATTTAAGCAAGTTGTAAAACATGTAAACAGATGTAAAAAGTGTATGTAAAGTGCACCCCCAAAACTCCTAGCTCAAAGCGCAACAACATTTTTTGAAGCAAATTCTTACAGTACCCAGTGGATCCCAACATCGTCCTTGGAAATTTGGCTCCAAGGGTTGATCACAAAGACTCAAAAACCCTGGAAACCCTGGTTCACAAACCTACATCCTACAACTTGAGACTTGAGCCGCCGGTGCCCTTATTCGACCTATGCAGGGATGTGAACAAGGGCCTCACTGGGTCCAAGCTTCACCCAGCTCATGAGTGACGACATTCACTTTCACCACTTCTCTTGGCTCGGCGCACACTGAAACCCCGCCCGTCCACAAGCACCTGGCAAATCATGCTGGAGAGTTCAGAAGAGAATTGGAAGGTTCAGAATGAAACGGAGAGTTCCCCTCTACAAAATGCATTGTTTTTATCACCACCCCGGAACAAAAAGAAAAGACATCAATGACGAGAAGTTGCAGAAACTAACTTCAAACAGGACCCATCCAGGGCACTGGTGTGGTGAATAGCACTTCGTTGGGCACGACTTGTAGCCGGCGTTTTTCCTCTGCGCGTCTTTGGCGTGGAAGAAGGCCCAGCCATAGAAGCCGTCTTGGCCGTCAATATAGACGGAAAAGCAGGTCTGGTCGTCTGTGACATACATGTTCCGTCCTTGCCAAATCTTCTCGTGCTTCTTCATGACACCTGGGATGCGTTCTTCGAACGCCATCCTTTCGGGCTTGGTTGATCCTTTCCACAATGTCGTGCACCTCATTCAATGTATATAATTAATATACACAGATAGACAGATAGATAGATAGATACAGATCATCCCGGAATCGCACCGCCTCTTTCGTCACCATGGGATGAGCACGGCTCACCCAGACATGCGTCTTTCTCCTTCGATGAGGTTTCTGGACAGTTCTCCCTTTCAACCTCAAAAAAGAATCGTAATAGAGCTACGGTTGATCCTCCCATCACCTCATCTTTGATACGTGCTGACTTTGACCCCCGAACCCCAGGAACCACCTCAAATGTATAATGGATTATAATGGCAATGGTATGCCAGTCCCATGTGTTTCGGATCATGGACGCTCCTGAAAGAGATCCCCTTCATTGGTATCCAACAGCAGTACCCCGCCCAGCTCAGTGGCAAAACATGTTCGGTGAGTCAAAGAAGAGCACCTCAGGCGCTTGCTTTTGCCTTTCCTCCGGGCTCAGCTCCGGGGCAATGGAGCACTTCATGGTGGGTATGTCACAAAAAGCGCCCTCGGTCCTGGGCGTGGGCGATTCTGCGTCGAAGAACGCCGAATGGAGGACGTGTCGAACTCGGCCCGTTTCCAACGTTCTTCATGACACGAAGATATACGAAGGCGCCTCAAGCACAGTACAGTTTGCTTGTGGACTCGTACCCCTGAATACCGCAAACATCGGATACGAGTTTCCAACTGGTACCCGTCGCCAGTTCAGGGGAACAAACACAACAAAGATCAACAAAGCCTCTTGCAAATCTTGGCGTCCAAACACTCCAGCACTGGCCTTCCAGAAGCATGTGTGGTGCCCTTGCGGTCTTCACCAAAGCACTGGCTTTCTTGCCCGGTGTCCAATAGATCCTTGCTTTGGATGACAAGTAGGCTCAGTAGGCCAAATCAACTGCAAACAATCCCGACATCAACCGGTTTCATCTGGTCGATCACCTCGTTGCTTTAAAAAAGGGTCCAACAGATTTAGGCTAGGCACTGCCAACTTTGTCTCCGCTTTTGGTAGAACAACACCCGTTTGTTCTCAGCGCAGTAGAAGACTGGCCGACGCCCATAGAACTTCTCCTGTTGCACATACTCACCATTCAACTCTTCTCGGGAGCATCCAGCAACCACAAAGGTGAAGTTGCCCTTCCTAACAGTCAATGTTTCGACATCATTGAGCAATCGGCAGTGATTTGAAGCTACCCTCCCCCCAAAAAAAGGGTTGAGGTACAGTAGTAGTTCACCAATCCGAGGGCATGCTCACATGTGACAAAGGCCTGTTTGCTGTACGGGGCACTGCAGTGTTGCTTGCTTGCGCAAGTGCTTTGCCCACCCAGCTGGCAGGGGTGCTCGTGTCAAGTCCAAAACAACTACAGTCAAAAGTTATGTTGCCTCTGTTCACACGCGCTGCCGCTACATCTCCCACGGATTGCAGGCATGAAGGATTCTATCTCCGAGTCATTCAAATGGAAGTGGAAACCACCTGCTTGTAGCGAAACATGGTCATCCAACAGGTCGAGTCTCGAGCCTATTTTCCACTTCCACCATTTCAGGGAGTGCAGTGTACCGTTTAGGCTTTTGCTGCCAGTTTCTCCCAAGACTACCCCACCAAACCGGCCAGGTGTGGGAACTGGGTCTCTTTGCGGGAGAGGTCGTGGCGAGCATGATTGGCATGCTGCTGGAATGAAGGGTGGCCTGGGCCTCGGTAAGTCTTCGTTCTTGAAATCGTGAGAGACGAGAGCGGCAGGAGATTTATATACTGTAAGTTAAAACACGGAACCCGCTTTGATCTGAACACGTCACGTCATGATGCTGAACTATTGATCAAGGATTTCCAATTTCTCGGGTGTATGAGCAGCATCACAGCACGATGTGGACTGATCGTGAACCCTGAATGGTCCTACACGTGGCTCGGTCTGCTACGCTCAGAAGCTGAGCATAGCCCAGGGTTCCGTCGCCAAGGCTCACTTGAGCCTTGCCTCCCACATCGTCTGCAAGCATCCACCGAACAAACTCCTCAAACCACAAAACGCCATCTCCGCTGGTGTCTGCCATAGCCAACAAACGGTCGATGGATGGATCGTCCCATGCTTCCTTACTGCGTAGAAGCTCCAGCAGCAAGACTGTGAACTTAGAACCTCTGGTCTTGGGGTCTAATGACTAATGACTCTCTACTATATAATGGTTCTTTGATGTTCTTTGGGTGCATATTTTCTCGGACTTGCTTGCCCTACAGCCCTACAGTTAGAGTAAGGGCCGTCACAACAAGGGTTTTGCCATCACAACAAAGCTTCTGCATCCAAAGCCTTCAAGACTGCGCCCAGCTCTTCTCGGCTGATCGTGCCATTCCCATCCTTGTCGAACTTTTTGAAGGCTTCTACCACTTCTTGCCCATGCGACATCCCCGGTCAATTGCGCAATCTGCGCCGTACAAACACTGACGAAATTCCCCTAGCCCGAGCCAAACACACCGGATGTGACGAAAAGGGAACCAAGAATCAGCGGACCTGGCGCCATGTGCAGTGCATCTGGGAACATCAGCGGACCGACCCAGTGCCCAATCCTTCCTTATTCTTTGGAGTCGAGCACTCCGCCCGGCCAAGAGACTTTTCTTGCAGTCGCTCCAGATCACTGACGGTGGCCAGCTGCGCTGACGGTGGTTCCACTCGCTCCACACCGATCCTGGACGAGCTCGCCCAGAAATCCTGGAACTGTGAACTCCGGACTGGCGAGTCCGTGGGGGGGGGGAACCCCATGGCGAAGCGCACGTTTCATAGCCAAACACTCAAGGTATGGCATATTTAACTGATCTATTGGGATGGTTCATGCAGTAGAAAATTCTGAACATTCATTATGGAGCGTTTGGAACTGTTAATGGCTGCCGCGAACCTGGCCTCATCCGCTAGGAAGCTCGGCCTGCACGTCAAACAACAGCTGCATGGTGATCCACCAAATAGAAAAGAACCACCTGCATTCCCAAAGCATATTAACATCACAGGAGTCCTTGTCTATAAATTCAATCGGCCACATCATCTGATGGCCGACGGTCTACCTTCCAAGCCGCGCAAGTGGCCGAAATGACCACTGACTGAACTCAAGAGGCCACCCAACATGCATAAAATGGGCAGGACTTGAAGAAGTGGATTGGAACCCCCCTTTGGGGGGAAGGAGTTTCCTCGTTAACCATCTTGAACCAAACCATGTTAATTCATGTGATTGGTGTGCTGGAGCCCCCCCAAGAGCCACGTCAATCCTTCTGAGCTCCGGTTGCAACCTGAGCGGAACGACCTCATGGCTTTGTAGGTGAAAGGAGTTCTTCGTGGTCTGACACCCGTTCAACAAATCCCACCCTCTCAACTCTCAACAGGTTCTGGGTGAGAATGAGAGTGATGCCTCAACGGCCACGTAAAGGCAAAACACTCTTTGGGACTGGCGGCACGTATTATATACTAAAAGTGTACTATATAATTATACAGTAACTACTGTAGTTAGTTGTACCATGTTGTAATTACCTAAATGACTATATTGGAGTTGATGAAAAGGGGTCAATGTAGTATATGTATACATATATTCCATACATGGAGTGTTTGGGAAGTGTTGGTGTTTCAATCTCCGGAACACCAAGTGGCAATTGAGATGGGTTTTGCCTGAGCCGTTCTCTTCCCCATCGGTTCAAGTGCCCGCCTGCGCCACTGAGGCACTGTATGCCAAGGGCTCATGGGCTTTGCGATGGGTGCCTCAAATGGGTGCTCCATCCCGATCGAGAATCATGGGCGAGTGGTTTAGGTGGGATCCTGGTGTATAATCACCTGTGCCTCTCGTTTCCGGGTGGGTCGGTAGAATTACAGTTTCGACCACTTTATATAACGCATTTAAACGTGCCAACTTGATTGGAGGTGGCTACACCACCGACCAAGCAACCGCGAGCATCTCTCGCTCCTGTGAGGCCCGTGAGGTGTGAACGCATCAACTGCTTAACTTATGGTTCATCTAAGCATCTTTCTGGAAAACCGTGCTACCTGAGCTACCTTATAAGCACTGGCTTGGACATCCCTTTTCTCCCTGTCTGAGTCTTCAACTCTCTGTGGCATCCCGGTCTTCTCGCGACGAAGGGCATCCTTCAAACAATTTCAAGCAGCTGATGAAAGCTACGAAGGAGCAGGGCTCCCAGCAAATAGCAGCCACCAACAACACACCCGCAAACCAAACCAAACAAAGGGGTTAGTAACGGTTGGACCGTGCCCATCCGTGTCCCACAATGCACATTGAAGAACTTCTTGCCAGCAAATCACGGGTGTCCCACCGAGCAGGGGAAAAATCAGAGTTCTTCTACCACGTTCGTCACGTGGCCCGCCTGAGTCCCTGACCGGGCCCGGCGGCACGTGGTTCAAAACCGGGCGATCGCTGGTGGTCCTCATAGCACTGCAACAGGGTGCTGCTGGCAGTGCCCACGGGGTTTCCATAGTCCAAATGCCACGGAGCCTCTGGCACCACCAGGGCTGTCGGGGCAGGGCACGTGCTTTGACCGAAGCCACCCAGAAACTACAAAGAGAAAATCAGCCACGGCGAGCAATGGGCTGCCACCGTTGCAAAACACACACCTAAACCTGAAAGCTCCAAAAAACCCTGTGAGTCCTTGTGGTGACTCGCATCCATCACTCCGTTTTGGGGCGGAGCCACGAATTGGGAATTCCTCTTCATCTCTCTTCCGGAAATCCGCAGCCGCCTTGTTGAACCTCCTGAGTGGGCTGTTACACTGTAACATGCGCTTCCAGTCTTGAAGTGTCTTAAAAGCTAAAGACACTCTACTTAAGGCACTCCTCCCGGTATGGTTGGGTGAATCTGCTGGACTTCATTGTAAGCGCGTCTTTCATCTCCGCGGCTCCTCTTTGGCGGAGGGAGACGGTCTTCCATCCCGGGGGTCTCACCCGACACTCAACGTTGCCCCGCCTGCATCAAGAGAGGCAGGTCCACCTGGAGGGACGAAACCGATTCGAGGTGGTGGCCAACAAAACCGACCCGACCCGGCCAAAAGAGGTTCGGTTGAACCTGGCAGTCTCAAATCCAAAAAAATACCCATGGTTCTGCAGTCAATCCCATCAAATCAATGGTGGACCGCATCCTGGGGGAAATAGATATAACTATAACTAGGGTATGTCCGAACACGTCCGAGCCTATGGGAAGACACACAGGAACGAGACGATGAACCCCTTCCGTCAAGGGAAAAGCTTGCATTGTGCCCTTCTATTCCAGCCACTCGTACACTGTGAACAAACCTCGCTTGCCACTGTTGCTATCGGTCGGAGTCGCAGCGGTTCGGAGCTCATGTTGCTCATGTCGCTCACTGGCCGGCTTGGCCAGCTTCCCCGTCATGCCTTCCTCACTCAATTCTTGATAGTTGGAGAAGTCCCCATGTCAAAGCCGGTTCCCATTCAGAAATGAAGTCCAGTGGGCCATCAGAGGTGAGAAATGGCACTGGCACCCAAAAATGTCTTTGATATGGAGGTCCTTCTAAACCACCTCTTGGGGATTGTGCCATCTACTCTGAAACCATTGTATAAGTCCAAAACAAGAGCCACCTTGGCTTGGAGACCTGAGTTGATGGCTGGACTCCGACCCCCCGGGCGTTCCATCCGCCGGCAGCTTTTCCGCGATCCCCTGGACTCCTCGGTCAACATTGCTCACCAGCGGCACTCGCCGCTCCAGCAGCACTAGTTACTAGTTCGGCGCACTTGAGAGGTGAGAGATTCGTCGTGCGTTTGAGTTGAACATGGCCGAAGTCCTTTGGGGTCCCACGTCAAGAACCAACTGCTGGGATCGGCCGGGCTAGAAATTCCATTGTACTGTCACCATCCCAGATGCCCCTCCAGAGTTCGATTGCCATCGTCAAAGCGAAGAATCCCACTTCGTTCGATAAAACTGAAGCCTGTCACACTCTTGGATTTGCTTCTAGGGAACCAGGAAACATGAAAAATCATGGAACCAGGCACTTCTCGTGGCTCTAAAAAAGTAGTAATTCCGCTTCGAGTCTTGAGGTACTGCGCGACGTGGGTCTCAATATAGTGGGCCTTAATCTCTGTACCATTTACGGTGTTCACCGGCTTGGAGCGCGATTTCGGTTCTTTCTTGTTTCCTCTCGAGTGAGACGCATTGTCCGGTCGCCTCCTCTGGGTTCCAGAGTTCATAACATCAATCTCGACAGGACTTGGTCACCCTCCCGGGGTCACGTCACCACCATCGGACTCAAAAAGAAACAGCTGTCCAAGAACATGTGCCAAATCTATTCATATATACCCTGAAAGTCAAAGGCTATAAACAACTATGACAAGAATATAAAAGAATGCGGTGGTCTTTAAGGGGACCTGAAAGGGAACTCGCTTCACTAAGGAAAGTACAGCATAGTTTCTGGACTTCTATGGGGTAAAAGTTCCATCAACCACGGAGAAGTCACCTGCCTGCGTACACCCCAAGAGGGCGGGCCAATTGACCAATCCAGTGCCAACAATCACGGCTTCTCCGTTCAAGGCTTCACCTGCGGCCCTTCTTCTTGCTGCCAGGCTTGGCGAAGGCCCAACTCACCTGAGGGCGGGGGGTGACACCTTCCAGTGCAAAAGTACCAGTACTTTTGGTGGTGACAACCCCCCTCAAAAAAACAAAAAGAACGCCTCCAGCTTGTGATCCAGCAGGGTGTTGCCATCCATCGACTTCACAGCGAGATCAGCCTCCTGCTTATTCTCATACCTGAGCAAGAATTAGGGTTCAAAAGCCATTCACACAAACCCAACTGGCCCTAAGTACCCCACATACCTCACGAAAGCCCCCCTCTTAGGGGCCTCAATGAAGTTGTTTCTCCGGTCGACCTAATTATATAATAGGAACTTGCCGCGATGGGGGGAAAGGGACGTCTATAAGAACCGATGATTTGAGTTGAGGGGACCGAGGTAAGTTCATACCTGGACCTACATTCCAAAGAATATCAGCCATGGGCAAGTGCTTGAGCTCCACCAGGTTCCGCAAAGCCAGAACTGATTAGGAGGTATAACACCTCAACCCGCGGCTTAACAAGTAGCACCGCATCGAACAGCGCAAAGAAAACAATTCCCACAATGCATATAAAAAAATATATATATTATATATAGTATTGACTTTCAAGATTTCAAAAGCTGCGCTTGGCGTTTGGAACCACAAACGGTTTTTGTTCGGAAGAACTGTTTGTTGACGACGGTTTAATCTCCATACGGTATGTCCATACGTCTGCTTGCTTGAAGAACCACAACCACAACCACCCGCTTGATGAAACAGACTTTGAGATCATCCCCAGGTATCCAAGGCTGACCTTCGAAGAGTCTGTGTTAAAACGCCAAGAGTTGTCCAAGGGTGTTCACAGCCCAAGGTACTCGATGAAGGCATAGCCCTTCACGAAGCCCGTACGGCGATCTAGGTTCAAATGGAGGTTTTTGATGTCGCCGTACTCGGAGAAGGCTTCGAAGATGTCATCCTCCCACATCTTTTGGTTCAATCCCGCTTGGTCAGGTCGGCATTCACACGCACAGTGACTGGGATGAAGAACATGTTCATTCTGCATCCTATTCTGCATGCGTGCTAAAGCCACCTTCCTCTTTCCTTCAGCAACGTTTCCTTAATGTTATTCTTCTCCGTTTGTGCAACGCCTCCTTTCTCCTTCCGTCTCGCTTCGGCTCGGTGACGACACGGCTCGGGACACGGCTCCTCCTGCGCTTCCTCATGGACGCCCGAGACGATGACCACCCACCCTTCGATGGAGCGGGCAGCGCCGGTCTCATCGTCATCATCGTCCAAGCGCTCGAACTTCCCTGCTTTGCCCGCCTCAAGCGCTCGGTGTCGGTCTTCAGTGGTCGAAGATCTCTACGACTCACCAGGACCAGATCGTGGGTGCGGTTGGTTTGGGGAGGCATCCAATCGGTCCGTGAAATGATGTGACATGGCTTTCCTTACGTTGCACCTTGCAATTATAATCAATTGGGAGGCCTGCGAGGTTCCTGTGAAAACATCTTTCGCTCCATCTGCCACCATCCAAGAGTGGGATCTTACTTTACCGACTTGTTGTCCTGGACACCTCTTAGAAGATGCCTACCCCGGCCTTATCAACAGTTTGGCTTGACTCCGGACTAAACAGAATCATTCCCTACATTATATATTATATAATGTATGCAAGGTGTGATGAATATATATATATATATAACATATATATGCGTGAAGTATCATATATGGACTCCATGGCCATGGTGAAACTGAGGTTGGTAAAATCAAGTCGCTGGGCTCATTGAAACAATTCGATTCTATGCTGTTTAAGCGTGGGGAAAAGCATGCTTGAGGGAAAGCGTGATGGGATGGTGACGTGACATGTTCAAGAAACAACACGGAGCCCAGAAATGAATACACCAAGACTGCCAAGACCCATATATAAACGATGACATGGGGTCTGATAATATCCTTGAATCACGTAACCATACAGAAGCTAAATCCCCAAAGAATTGGGAATTTGGGAGAAAACGGTCAGTTTTGGGGACCACTTCGAGCTGACAACTCCAAGAAACCTACGGGATCCCTGAAACAAAGGCCCTGGAAGTGGTACTATAGGCCCCTTGGATTTTCTACGCAGTCCAATATAGTAGTTAGAGTTCTTTGCATGTTCTTTGCTTGTAGCTCACTGTAGGCAAGCATGTTCCATATGGTTGGTGCTTCGACCATGTTTGGCTAAACTGGGGAGTCGAGCAAACCCTGCTCAGTGGTCTGGCGTTGCAAGGACCCGGGTCTGTGCAACCTCCTACCCTTCCAGTGGCTACCTGCCTACATACCAGGAAAGGAAAGGGATAGGGAAGTCTGGCGAGGGAACTGGTCTATCCAAGTGGCATAACGATCATCATCCTCACCTCCGCGGCCCTTCATGCGTCGCCCCGCGGGACGAGTGTCCTCCACCTCCTCGTCATAGTCCACGTCCATGGGGCCGACGGGTCTTTGCGGCTGAAACGCTCTGCGATCGCTTGGGCTGAAAGGCGCCGCGCGTCGGCCAGCGATGGGTCTCGAAATGGACGGTTTGAGCATGGACACCCATCATACCAAGAACACCGAAAGGAACATCGAAAGAAACATATACCGTATCGTACCTCAATGTTCAATGAGCACCATTGAGCGTGACATTCCGTGAGTCTGCAATGCTCCCGGTCGCAAGCAAAGGGCCTCGGCAAATCACCCAGTGCTGAAACTACGCCATACGGTCGCAACGATGAGGCGGGTTTTCATGTGCAAGTGTGTGTGTGTGTGTCTCTAACAAAGTATATACTATATACATCATATACAGTCAGTATTTATGGTGTATAAAAATATATATATATATACTTACATAACTTCAATTAATGGTAACTTACAATTGCCGTTTCCAAGACGCTTTCTGGGAAACCTACCTTGGAGGTCAAGCTACATGGCGTATCATGGCCCCATATACCCTTACTCATGGGCTCCTGGAGTGTTGCTGGGCCTCAAGGCAGCGCGTGTTTCATCAAGGCTTCACAGCTTCATGTCCGAAATTACATCAAAGGACTCCTTCTTTATGGGAACTGAGTAGGAACTGCAGCTATGTCCAAGCAGTGGTCAAGTTGCGCATCATGATCAATCCATCTCAATCCTACGGCCTTGGGTCCAACAGCTTCCACACGTGCTAAAGACGTACACCATGACCATGAGGTGCCCCAAAAATGCATGGTGGGGTGGGGTGCAACTAGTCATAGCCACACAAACCGCAAGTGACTTGGACATTGAGTAAGGGGGGGTGGACGAAAGGTTGGTTTGGTATAGACCGGAGGGTGCATGAACAGCAACACGCGGGGCATGAGACCGACACCATCGGGGAAGAGATATCCCCCATTGGCCCTGATATCGACCAGCCCCAGCCCCAACAAACTAAATATTATATAAAACGTGTGGTCATTGACACAGGCTGTCAAGGATTGTTAAGGTACATTGACTCAGGTATTCTGCCCCTCAGCCGAATTGAACCCGGGGGGGGGTCATCTTGAAAATACAACAATCAGGTCATGGAGGACAATCCCACTCCTAAGCTAAAGCTTATCAAACTCGTTGCCTAGCAACCTTTCGTGACAACATGCATGGGTCATTGATGCCACGCTTCCTCTGAAGAGAGCTCTGCTTTACACGTTGAACCAGGTTGTCAGTGGTTTTGCAAGGAGCGCACAAAACCTGGTGCTGATGCTTCATTTCGTACAGTTCCAAAACCAACCGTCCTTGGGTCGGTCGGTAGATGAATATGTGTTGGGGTTGGAACATGTGCGTGGGTCACCTTGGCTCTCATGCGGGCCATCCCCCGCCCACTCGATCGGCATCTTCATTCGATGCCGTGAGGAAGCCTGTCATGTTAAGCCATGACAGGGTCCAACGTAAAGGGAAACCTCCCAGTTCGAACCCCCGCAAGGTTCAGAAGATAAACCTACCAAAAAAATCATTGCTTGTGGGATGATGTGGGATGTCTCCAAGCCTTCCAGTGGCCTTTCTAGTCCTTAGAAATCCACACCCAACCAAGACCAAGATCTGGACCGATGAAACTGCGTCCTCTCGACCTTTCAACGGCTCGGTCCTTCTGTTCGCCCACCTCCGGCGGAATCGGCGCGCGCTCGAGCGCATGTCTTTTGGAGGCGCAAGTGGAGAAATGACCTGGTACTATTCTGGTACTTTTGGAGGTGATCTTCATGATTCAACCATACTTTGGGATACAAAGCTGTCTTGGATCATGGGACTTACTGTGATAGTGAGGTGTGACTTGAAGCAAATGGCCAAGTCCAAGAAAAAAGGAGACTTCACGCGCTCAATCAAGCACCACAGAAATATGCTCTTGCTGTGGCAAAGTGGGGCACAACATTATATTATTAAGCAATACATCTACGAGCTGCAGTGAAGGGCTTTTTGGTTCGTTCAGGGGACGGCCTAAGCCAGTGAAGAAGAAGTCCATTTCTGGAGAAAAGAAACCAAAAGTCTTATAACGAATACACATGGCAAGAAGAGATACATCATCAGTCTTCCAGTTCTGTAGTGAATGCAAGCTGTGCTGAAGATGCTGCAGCTTTCACAGAGTTGGTTTCCTTTGAGTTCATCCGTGGTTCAACCGTTCGACCGCCGTTGGCCGTTGGTTCTTGTTATTGATTCTCAAACGGAAACAATGTGGCGGCGCCAAGTGGGCCAAAGCTCAAGTGCCAAGATGTTGGAGGGCCTAAGCTTAAGTCCTTAACAATTCAGCATATTTCCCGAATAACATCCCACAACTATTGGTTGAAAGTTAAAGTAATTAAAAAAATCGTCATCAATTCCGCTAGTGTCCCCATGTTCTTTCCAGTCCATCGGTGATGAGCCAAACAAAAACCCAGGCTTGGTTGTGAAGCCCCTCGTCTCCCCTTGCGCATCGCCGGTCCACCACCCTTTTGGCGAGAACGCACAGGGCTCCAATCGCTCCCCCGTTCAGCCGCCTGCGTGGGCTCCGCTCCGGTGACAGGTGTCTTTGCACTGGAGGGTTTGGAAGCTCCAGAAAACCAAACCACTGAATTCTTCCCTTCAAGGAGGACCATGCAATCCGAAAACCAGACCGGTGGAGGGAGTTTGTTCAGAAGCCGGACGAAAAAACCTGCTTCGCCATCGTCCCAGCGGCGGCAAGTCACACGTTCACGTTCCACGAAGTGATACAGGATCCTCATCACAACTCGGTTGAAAATGGTCAGAATTGGTCAAACTGCAGTTGCCATCTATGTTTGGTACCTACAGTGCTACAGTTGATATTTAAGTTCCTCTGGTGGGGGAAGCAGCATCATTGATCCGATTTCATGTGAGTTCATCTTCTTGCAGAGTTCAACACGTCCATCCACACAATTATTGCTACTGTATGGATCCCGGGAGCCGGCCAAGCAGTGCTTGTGCAGAATTGAATGAATAGGATCGAATTGGGCGGAGGCCTTCAAGGCCTTGGCCAGCGCTACGGGGTTGCTGATCAGCGGCCCAACAGGAAGAACCCACACAAGAACCGCTCGTGTTTTTTGGCAAAACGAATCAGCACTGTCTTTACCTGTTGAATCCTGAAAAAGACCAACTCCGCATTGGTCGTTCATTATAGGGTTGGATGAAGTCAGCACCCCCAACGAGGAAAAAAACAGGGCCCGACAAAGGCCGCACACCCACGCGGCCTCACCGCCGCCTGGCATCCCGATGGGCGGCATCACTCGGGAAGCGGTCCAAATGCCTTTGCAACGCCTCGGTGTCGGAGAAGTATGCAGTCAAAAGTCAAAACATGTCAAAACCTATTATCCCGGCAAGAGACCCCAAACGGTGTATCTAAAGGTCTAAGGTCTAGAGGTGTAGATGCAGAAGGTCGATCTAGGCGCAGTGGGCTCCAGAGAGAGGTGATGGTGGCGATGATGGTGGTGATGAAGGTGGTGATCGTGGTGATGGTGGTGATGATGGTGGTGGCGTTGTTGTTGTTGTTGTTGCTGCTGTTGTTGTTGGTGGTGTTGGTGTTGGTGTTGGTGTTGGTGATGGTGGTGATGGTGGTGGTGAAGAAGGTGGTGAAGAAGGTGGTCATTGCAAAAACTATACCCTACAGGCAAACAAGCTTCATGTACTGGAGTTGATCATACGAAAGCACTACTCAATACTCAATGAGGTACCAGCGGGGCCTTTGGATCTGCAGGGGTAGGACGGTAGGAGAATAGATGCAGCTCTCAAACCCAGCTGTTGAACAGCTGTGGTCCCAAAGGAACTAAACCTGTTCTGGGCATCTCTGCGTTGCACTTGCTAGAACATGTCAACTAAATGAGCACCCATTTTTTGAAAAAGGGAGAAATGACTTCAATCGCACAGCCCTTGGCCTTGGCCCAAAACCTCGGCACCGGCCTTCTCCGTTCCACAAGTATAGCCGCAAATGCACCCAATCTCTTCCTCCTGCCTCATTGATTGAAAGTGACACATGTTTCTCCGCATGGTGCTTACGTGTGTTTGCGCTGTTGCACCCATCCTCAACACACAAAGAAATCATAGGATGCCAAGGGAAATTGGTATTATATAATTGGGCACTGATCTGTGATCGGCCATCAGGCCGACAACCGATCCGTTCGATGCCTCTCACGAAATCGGAGTCTGATTGAGTCAAATCGGACTGAGTGCGTTGATGCAACCCTACGAGTACCAGGCCCAGGCCGCCCTATACCATCTCTCCGCTCCACAACTGAAGTGATTGAAATTGAGACTTGACCAGTTTCGTGAAACAGGACCTACGAGGGGGGGAGGTCTCAAGCACAACGTCCAAATGACAAGGGTTCTGGGGGTCTGGGCCTTCGGTCGGAACACCTAGTGATATCCCCACCCCCATGAAAATGTAATATTTTTCCATAGGTTGGTACCATAGGTTGGTACCTGGAAAATGTAATCTAACATTTTCCTTGCAAGACGTAGAAAATGTAATATTACATTTTCCAGGTGCCAACATGCCTGAAATGACCTCAACAGACATGTAAGTTACATTATAAAGAAAATGTAAGTTACAATTAGGGGACGTATGGGAAAGCATGCACAGATTGCACAGACATGTGAGATCATGTGAGCATTGCTCAAAACCTATCGGGAATTTGTTCTAATGGGCTTTTCTTTCGCAAGTTCCTTTCGCAACACTTTCGCGACTTGCGTTTTGGATATTCTGAGCAAAAACACGTTAGCAAGCTTTGGCGGACGGAACTGATTTCGCAAGCTTTTGCTGGCGCTCTCCCCAGTTTTGGTTTGTCCCTGGTTCCCAGCGTAATTACAGTTTCTTTTCAGGTATGTCCTTCTTAAGGCTCATCTTCTTTCTAGCTGTTGTTTCTCTAGATTTGCTGGCGCCCTCCCCAGTTTTGCCTCATCCAAGGTTCTCAGCTTACATTTTTCTCTTTAAAGTAGGTATGTCCTTATTAAAGTTTATCGTCTTTCTAGCTGTTGTTTCTCTAGATTTGCTGGTGCCCTCCACATTCTTTGCTTATCCCAGGTTCTCAGCTTACATTTTCTCTGTAAAGTAGGAATGTCCTTCTGCAGATCTTCTTTCTAGCTGTAGCTGCTGTTTCTCTAGGTTTGCGGGCGCTCTCCCCAATTTTGGCTTCCCCCAGGTTCCCAACTTACATTTTGTTTTCAGGTATGTCCTTCTTGAGGCTTATCCTTTTTGCTGGTGCCCTCCCCAATTTTGCCTCATCCAAGGTTCTCAGCTTACATTTTCTCGGGAAAGTTGGTATGTCTTTCGGAAGACTTATCTTCGTTCTACAGTAGCTGTAGCTGGTGTTTCTCTAGATTTGCTGGTGCTCTCCCTAATTTTGGCTTCTCCCAGGTTCCCAGCTTACATGTTCTCTTAAGTATGTCCTTCTTAAGGTTTATCTTCTTTCTAGATGTTGTTTCTCTAGATTTGCCGGTGCCCTCAATCATTGCTGTCGAGTGCGCAGCTTGTCACAGGGTCACACGCTTGGCTGAAATGCTATGGTGGCCATGCATTTTCAAGCCTGCTTTCTGCATGTTACATTTATGTCTTGTCAAAAGCAAGAAGCATTTGGGTTTTTGCTGCTTTGGCCTTCTGAAAGAAGACGTCCGACCTCCCTAAGTTACATTTTTCTATCTATAAAAACAGGTGGGGACCTGGACGTCAATAAATGTAATTTACATTTTTTCACGACCCCCCCCCATGTTTTTTCTGCGTCTCTTCTGTCGGTGTTTCCCCCGATTTCCCCAGGGATCTGCCAGAGATCTCCAGTCCGCGCATGTGTTTTTTGGGGGAGGGGGTCAAAATGTAACTTTGAAGCTTTCACAGACACAAAATGAAGCAACCTTCTACGCCTTTGCTTGATTTTGCTGGCTGCGTGAGCAAGGTCCAACCCCCCCCCCACCCCCCCCAAAAAGGCCTGAAACTGGACCAGGGGGGGTGGTAAGTTACGTTTATCATCCCCCCCGAAAAAGTAAGTTACAATAAAAAGGTCCCCCCCTGTTTTCAGTGCCTAAGGGGGTGGTGATCTAGTGATCACTTAATCGATCCACTGGGTGAACGGCGCGGTGTGTTTTTCTTTTGTGATGTCTTGGTGTCGTCCATCCGCTTGGTCCTTTTCCAGCAACTGGCAACTCCTTCAGACGTAATAATAATAATAATAATCATCATCATCACTGGTTTCAGCAGTGGCTTATATAAAAATCAGTCATACACCATGCAGCATTTGGCCAGGTGACTCTTGTGGCGGAGTCCTCCTCCTCGCAGGCCGCTCAAAGCGCTCGTAGCCGTCCTTCTTGGCGCTGTGCCCCGTCGATCAACAGCGACCAGCCATACACTATACGATGCAAACTTTGAAACCTTTATGATGCAACTCACTCACTCACTCACTCACTGCCTCCCTCCCCTCCCTTGTGAAAACCCAGACTGCTAGGACAAGGAGGGTTGGGACTTTTCTTTCAGGATTTCCCAGGGTCAAAGTTTCTGGTTCCACCTTTCTATGAATGCTACGCATTGCATTCGTACACATGTTCACCGCGAACCTTTCCACCCCGAGTCGGCATGCCTGTTTTGGTTTCGAAAGAATCGCACCGGGCAAGCCCGGCTCCCATCCACAAAGGTCTCATCGGTTTTCACGAGAACGTTGGGTGTTCTATATATAGATTTAAAAAAAAGAAGTAGATTTCCACTGCGAGTGGACCGGCAGTTTCCCTCCCGTCCTGCGAACTCCGAGCAAACCTGCTGGAGTTCGCTGTCGCCAGACCGCTCGCTGATCCACTGAGTGACTGACTAAGTGCAAGCTAAAGCTGGAAAGACTGTACAAATCTTGCGCAGCCCATTGTGCCAACGCATCGGACAATGACTGGTTCAGTGTAGGCTTATAGTCTTCCCACTGCCAAAGAGGGAACCAAAAGGTCTTTCTTTGAACCTGTTGAACCCTAAAAATCTTACATCCATGGACCAAGTCAGGTGCGGTCAAAACATGTCAACACAAAATGGTTTTCGGTGTAAATGTGTATGTTTGCTTATATACACATACACAGCTCAATTATATAATTGGAATATCTTATGTATCCGGATGTATCCGAAGAGAATCTTAAGCTGGTGCAGCCTATGAACATTTATCATGCAACCCACAGGTCCTCTGGGCTTTTCACCTCTTGGGTTTTCTTCCAGAAAAAGCGACCGTTCGATCATGAGCCCACTTTCCGAAACCCAGGTCCAAGAATTCATGTGGGGCCTTCTTGGCGCTTTCACCCTCTCATTTCCCTCCCATCGAAAATCGCGCCTCTGAGCTCCCTCCTGGCCAGCGAGCGACCGTCCCACGCAGGGCTCCGAAGACGATCGGCGTGGGCGAAATCGGCCAGCGAAAGATGACTGAAGTCACTAAGGCTGAAGAAAAACCATCTCCAACCAGCTGTCAGCTCTGCGAAGCCCCCCTGACCGTGCTGACCTTGTCACAAAATAGGAGAACAGATCGATCAGTTCCACGGATCCTCTATGGTGTTAAGGGATGGCGTGCACATCAGTAGGCTACAAAGGGCGCTTGGCAAGTGATTGGAAATGGCAGACGGATGCATCTTCACTCCCAGACTGCTGGAGGTGAGATTTCTGGGCAAGCTGTAGAATCCAAATCACCTCGGATCGCAAGCTGTGGATGCTGAGGGATGCTCAAACCGAAGACACCCAGCTGCACGCTCCGTGTCCTGCCGGAATCCTGGCATGCCCGGCATGCCCATGGGCCCACCAAACGGCAGTCCGCCACCCAGTTGCCCCAGCAGCGCCTCGAGCGGAAGAATGACTGTAAAATATCCAAACAACCCCTCAAGATCCACTCTCTTGAGTGGACTTCATCAGCCTTCGTGCTGCGAAATTGGATGTTGCGTGATGTTGCGCCCTCTCTAAGACGCTATACCGCTTTGCTGCCTATACTTGCCTGCCATGACGCATGATGCCCCCGAGAAGGATCAAGTTGGGTCCTTCATCCCTAACCGCAGATCGCCTCCATCTGCGGATCACCCTGCAGAAGATCCTGCAAATCCTGTCAAGCAAATTGGGCCCAACAGGTCCGGACATGCAATGATGTGAGATCCTGTTGTGCGTTCCATGCTGAAGTCAGGACGTCCGACCATTTTAATATAGAAAGTCAGAAGTCGTGTGTTTCTCTCGGTATCTCTCGGTGGATTTGTTGACAATTGTCCTTCCTTCAATTGGTTCTCCCTGCTTGAGTACACTTTAACCACCACCTCTGTGGTTCCTATTGATGTCCATTTGTTTCCGTTGGAATTCCTATTGCTTCTTGTTCTTTACTGACATAAAAGAAAGTCCATCTTTGGTGCTGGGACTCTGAGCCGATCCCTCATATCAAAATTCCTCATGCTTGAAACCCTATCAACATGCTACTGCTACCAAATCAATGTTTGAAGGGGGTAGTCCAGGCTGGCCCTTGAATTGCTTTATATTCATTGTGTAGGGGGTCAGAAAAGTGCAAAAACTGCTGCAATAGAATTCGCCACTGAACCTCTGATCTCTTTTGATTGGTTTCTTGTTGCTTTCCACTTTGCTTTGCAATGATTCTTTCCGGTTTGCAGCCCGGGAATTCCAATTGGCAATGGACGGGGAAGGACTGCTATTGATCCCCATGTGCCCCCCTTGTTGAAACCAATTCAACAAAATTCATGCTCTGTTGCTTCATTATATAATTAACAATTCCTATAGGCGATAATTGGTTTCGTGGGGAATCACTCCATTCAGACTTCCTCGATCGTTTCAAGGGATTACAAGGGGGGTATATGCAACTCAACACTCCACATTGGTCTGGACGTACGCTGTATGCAAGTACCGGCCCTCGCGATGGGCAGAATGTACAGTACCTTTTTGTGAGTCCTGCAACCCTGCGCCGCAAAGAATTCTCTCCCCAAGTAGGCAATGATCTCTGATCAGTGACCAGTGGTCAAAGCCAGCATCAACATGTTCATGCAACATTCCAGGGTCTAGGGCAAGTCACGCTGAGAGGCATGAAGCCATTGTATGTATGGGTGTTTCTCCAAATTTGGACAATGGATGCTGCTTGAGTGAGTTTAGCATCTTTCTCCACCCCGTGACTTTCAGAAAGCCTGCCCCGTTCCACACTGCGTCCTCCAAGCCGCCCAGGCCGCCCGGACCAAAGCCGCCGAGGCCGAAGTCCGCGCCATCCATGCCACCTGTCCAAAGTGATATGAAGAGATCGGATCTATCCGGGGCTAGAGCTAGACCAGCGATTTTTTATGATTTTTTGGCACAGCTATAGACCTTCGGTCGTGCAAAGAGTGCCGGGTTTGTGCTGTTTTGCAGTTTCCACAACTCACTGGTCAAAAATGCGGCGTCCTTTCAATACCTTGATGCAGCATGAGAAGCCTTGACATCCAAAAGTGTTTCAAGATTTTTCAATTCAAGGCAACCCTGGTACGATGTTGGATGTTGCGTTGCTCTGGAGAACTTCCCCCCGTCTCACCGTGTCACAACAGAACCAAACACTCCATGTACGGACTGCTTTCCTACAGCGGAACGGTTTCAGGGGGTCTATAGGATTATAAGTTTATATAGTCTAGGTTAAAAAATAACAGTATGGTGTCCGGGTATGGATATCCAATGGAACCCTCACAGTATGGCAGTGGACTGAACGCCTCTTCCGCCTCTTCCGCCCTTCTCACTCGCCGAAGGCCTCCGAAGGCGGCCATGGATTCAAGCAGTTCCTCCTCTTCATCCTCCTTAGCTCCGAAGCGTGGCCGTGACCCAAAAAGTGAAGCCATTTGCAGCATATCTCTGGCCGTTGTCTACCACAAACACGGGCTTTTCTTGGCAGGAAAACAAAACAGACAGGGTGTGCGTTGTGAAATGTTAATCGGTCGGAATGATATAAACTTATAAACACATCAAACACTGGACAGTTCATCTTCCTGAGCGCATGGAGCTTCTACTTCCTGGCAAATCGCACACGGGGCTTCCCCACCCACGAGCCCCTGCATCTTCGTGGCTGCGCTCAGCTCATCAATGCGCATTTTGAGCTGGCGCAGAAGCTCCTCCCTGACAGAAACCACGACTTTCAACATCGTCGCTCAGCTGTTGCGACTGCTGGCGAACGGGCGAAGCGGAGCAGTCGGAACGGAGAGTTGGGCACAGGCTCACAGCTTGGCCCCGGACTCCGGTGTCCGCTGGTCCGCTTTTTGCACGTGGCTTCCGGAAGATGGTGTACCCTGAAACTGGAACCACTTGCCACTTGCAATGTAGGTAAACATTCCCAGTCCCATGGAGATGGAGTACATATGGAATGCATTTCAAACCCTCATGAAACATGAAACCTCTTGAAGTGTGGCCGAAGTGCGGCATCCTCAAATTCAACATCTTCCCCCCACCTGTCATCCTTCCGCACCTGTCATCCTTCAGCCGCTGGGCTTCCTCCAGAGTCACATCCAGCACCTCTGCGATCCGCTCCGGCGTCGCCTTTGCCTTCGCCATTCGCACCTCGTCCGGGCTGGACGCGGCGGCCTGGGCGGCGTGAGCGGCGTGGGCCCTAAGCAGGTGGCCGAACGGAAGACCCACAAAACCGGCCAAAATCAGGTTGTTAGCTCTATGCCCCCACTTAATTACAAACAATTATGTTAAGGTTACATGTTTTCAAAAATGACCGCTCAGCTCTATGCCCCCACGTAATTACAAGCAATTATGTTAAGGTGACATTTTTCCAATCATGACCCCTCAGCTCTATGCCCCACTTAATGACAAAAACTTATGTTAAGATGATTTATGATGTGTCTTTTTTCAACAATGACCGGTCAGCTCTATGCCCCCACTTAATCACAAACACATATGTTAAGATGATATTTGATGTGTTGTTTTTCAAAAATGACCGCTCAGCTCAGCTCTATGTCCCCACTTAATTACAAGCAAATATGTTAAGGTGACATGTGTTCAAAAGATTATGTGATTTTTTCAATAATGACCGCTCAGCTCAGCTCTATGCCCCCACTTAATTACAAAGCAATTATGTTAAGGTGACATTTTGTCTAAAACGACCGCTCAGCTCTATGCCCCACTTATATAATCACAAACACTTATGTTAAGAGGATAGATGATGTGTTCTTGTCAAAAATGACCCTCAGCTCTATGCCCCCACTTAATCACAAAAACTTACGTTAAAATGATGGATGATGTGTTGTTGTTGTTTACTTTAAAACCTCTCAGCTCAGCTCTATGCCCCCACGTAATTGCAAGCAATTATGTTAAGGTGACATTTGCTGAATCATGACCCCTCAGCTCTATGCACCCACTTAATCACAAACACTTATGTTAAGATGATAAATGATGTGCATGTTGTTTTTTTCAAACATGACCGCTCAGCTCTATGCCCCACTGAATCACAAACACTTATGTAAAAATGATAGATATGATGTGTGTTTTCAAAAATCACCGCTCAGCTCAGCTCTATGCCCCCACATATATAATCACAAACACGTATGTTAAAATGATAAATGATATGTATTTTTTCAAAAATGACCGCTCAGCTCTATGCCCCCACTTAATCACCAAAACTTATGTTAAGATGATAGATGAAGTTCCTTTTGTTTTTTTCAAAAAAGACCGCTCAGCTCAGCTCTATGCCCCCACTCAATCACAAACACTTATGTTAAGATGATAGATGATGTGTCTTTTCCAAAAACGACCGCTCAGCTCAGCTCTATGCCCCCACTTAATTACAAGCAAATAATATGTTAAGGTGACATTCTTTCAAAAATGACCGCTCAGCTCTATGCCCCACTCAATCACAAAAAACTTATGTTAAGATGATGTTATTTTTTTTGCAAAAATGACCGCTCAGCTCAGCTCTATGCCCCCACTTAAACCGATGTTATGATGATAGATTATGTGTTTCTTGTCCAACATGACCGCTCAGCTCAGCTCTATGCCCCCACGTAATTACAAGCAATTATGTTAAGGTGACATGTGTTTCAAAAATGACCGCTCAACTCAATGCCCCCACTTAATCACAAACACTTATGTTAAGATGATAGATGATGTGTTGTTTTTTCAAAATGACCGCTCAGCTCTATGCTCCCACTTAATCACAAAAACTGATGTTGTGATGATAGATGATGTGTTTCTTGTCAAAAATGACCGCTCAGCTCAGCTGTATGCCTCCACATAATCACGAACACGTATGTTAAGATGATAAATTATATGTTTTTTTCAAAAATGACCGCTCAGCTCTATGCCCCCACTTAATCACCAAAACTTATGTTAAGATGATAGATGAAGTTCTTTATGTGTTTTCAAAAAAGACCGCTCAGCTCAGCTCTATGCCCCCACTCAATCACAAACACTTATGTTAAGATGATAGATGATGTATTCTTTTTTCAAAAATGACCGCTCAGCTCAGCTCTATGGCCCCACAAAATCACAAACACTGATGTTAAGATGATAGATGATGCGCATGGTTGTTTCCAAAATGACCGCTCAGCTCTATGCCCCCACTTAAAAAAAGCACTTATGTTAAGATGATAGATGATGCGTCTTTCCAAAAATGACCGCTCAGCTCAGCTCTACGCCCCCACTTAATTACAAGCAATTTGGTTAAGGTGACATGTTTTCCAAAATGACCGCTCAGCTCTATGCAAGATGATAGATGATGTTATTTTTTCAAAAATGACCGCTCAGCTCAGCTCTATGCCCCCACTTAATCACAAAAACTGATGTTATGATGATAGATTACGTGTTTCTTGTCCAAAATGACCGCTTAGCTCAGCTCTATGCCCCCACTCAATTACAAGCAATTATGTTAAGGTGACATGGTTACTCAAAAATGACCGCTCAGCTCTATGCCCCTACTTAATCACACACACTTATGTTAAGATGATAGATGATGTGTTGTTTTTTTTTTCAATATTGACCGCTCAGCTCTATGCACCGACTTAACTACAAAGACTTATGTTAAAATGATAGATGATGACTTTTTTTCTTCTCAAAAATGGCCGCTCAGCTCTATGCCCCCACTTAATTACAAGCACTTGTGTTAAAATGATGTGTTTTTTCAAAAAAATGACCGCTCAGCTGTATTACATAAAATGATGTGGTTCTTTTTTCATGTATGACCGCTCAGCTCTATGCCATATGCCGCATGCCCCCCACTTATATATATATAATTACAACTTATGTTAAAATGATGATGTTCAAACATGAATGGTAATTGTGAGCAAAGACGTTGTCTTATGGATGATTGGTATTTGTGGGCTCCACATCTACCTCCTCTCCATGCCCGGAGCTTTCACCTCACTGTCTTCCACCTCTTCGGCAGCCACTGTGCGATACCTGAGCGGATCGCATCGGTCGGACGTCCCCCCTCTGCTCCCAGTCTAGACTCTAGACGACAGGGGAGCGAGTTGGTTTGCAGCTCATGGTTGGGCTTACTTGAGGTGACTACACCCTTCGTGCTGAAGTCCGGTTGCACCATGTTGTACAAAGGAGACCGGCTGTGGACCGGTAACCCTGTCCAATCAACTCACCAAGTCCTGTACAGCCGACACAGCCGAAGCTCTCCCAACCGCTGGGTGAGAGAGCTTACACTTCCGTATGCAGTATATCTCCATGGCACCATGGCACCACCAATATACCCTGACGGGCCAGGAGGCATCTCCAAGACTTGTTCCAGCACCTTGGCTTTGTCCATGCGCTTCTGCATGTGGGCACGGATGTCAGGGACACCCGGCACCTCACGAAGTCCGGCCATGGGGGGGAGCCTCCGAAAAGGCCATAGCACAAGAGGACTGTCACTGTCAGGACGTGAGTCATGCACGGCAGTATCTCATTCTATGTCCTTTCTGGCCTCCCTTTCCTTTCTTGTAGAAGCTAGTCTAGGTCTATGAGCCCATGATAACTTTCCACTTAGGCTACCTGATTGGGATGGGCGAGCCCAAGCCACTGCAAACTTGCCCGACGGCCACCTGCGAAGAACCCAGCAGATCTAAAGCCAAAACAAACTCACTCACCACCATCACCATCTCCAATTCGCCGTTGATGCAACCAGCCTTGGACATCTCCGCCTTGCTGCCGTCGGGCATGAGGAACTCACCGCTGGGATCTCCAAGGCCTGCAAAGAGAAAAAGAACCAGAAGGATCAAAAGGTACAGAGTATGGATCTTTGTTGAACAATGTCCCTAATCCGGTGCGTGACAGGTACCAGCAAATTGCTGGCTGTAATAATTACAGTGCAATTATGGCTGTATCTTTCAGAGACTCAATCCCGTCCCTTTCTGGCCCTCTGAATTCATCTGCTGCATGAACCTGACCCGAACAAAACAAGCACATGACTCAAAGATGCAGCTTGTCCCGAAGGAAGATGGGGCATGACGTGACGTTCTTTCAGTCATGTCATGATATCATATCATGACATGACTGAAACTAGAGCCCAGGTGTTCTACTTCTAGGCCATGGCTTCAAACTCCACCCCCTACTGACCATTTGCTCGGGGCTGTCACTGCAAGCCGCTGTCGAAGGCGACGGAATGCAAACTGCCCAGCATTCTCCGGGAACGGTTCGCAATCTCCCAGTTCCATCATGGTTTCTTCTGCCTAGTACTGCAAATAGATGTACGTAAATAGAAAAAATATCTCACACAAATATCTGCTAATATTAGGGCATCACGATGTCCAAAGGGAGCCTTCTTGCACAAAGACCTGCCTGTGACCTGCTTCATGAAAGACTCGAATGAGGCCTTCCTCGCGAGGAAAGAAGTGACCGGATGGTTGTTTTGCCATGCAGCCACCAACGTCATGGGTTGCTGGGGCCTTGCTGTCTTCCAACAATTGAAGAATTGGCAAGTGCAACGGCCCCAGTGCAACGGCCAACCACTGAGATGATATCCTCTTTCCAAAACAAACCCGACTTGCTTTTGTCTTTGCCATTTGCTGGGTCAAAAACACATCTGCCGAGTGCACAGCACTCCGGCGATCTGGTAAACACATCCAGGTGTGTGGGGGCGGGGGGGCTGGACCCTCGTGAGATGTTCACGTGGTCACCTGGGAGGCTCTCCACCGGCAACCCAATAAGCCATGGCGCTTACAAAAATTCATCCCGAAATTAGAAAAAACACAAAGACACATAAAACGTCAAGGGATCCTGTTTCAAAACCTTGAGAACAACTCAAGTCAACGCCGAACCTCGTAAACGGTGAGGGTCGGGCTGACCTTGGTCGTAGTCACCGTGGAATTCTTCGGACGTCACGCTGTCGAAACGGTCGAAAGGCCTTTCTCGCCATAGAACGATCGTTGCGGCCAAGCATCATGCTTTTCAGGGTCTCTTTGGCCCACTCCTCACCGCAGAGGTGTTTTTGTGGCAATTTTCTGCTCGCGATGTATGATGAGTCACCAGTTTTTTCCGAAAAATTGACTGTTGCGCGTCTCAGCCTCTAGCCGACTCATGCCGACTCAAGGTTTTGTCAACTGTCTTGATGGCACCACAACTGGGGGTGGTTCGGCCTATGTGGCTCCATGTGTGGCCGCTCAATCTCCCGGGCCCCTGGGCCCCTGGGCCCTCAAGGCCTCACAGTCCAAGTGATGTTTCTTCTCGAAATGGGCCAACATGAGTCGCTGATTCGAACCCACGTGTTGGCCTCGGTCGGATGCAACACCAGGTCATTCCCGGAATTCCTTTGTTCCAATAAAATCTACAATTCTTGTCAGACTTAATCAATCAGAGATTGAGTTCACATCTTTTGAACAACATGCAATCGCTAATATCTATCTTATGTTTTGGCCTTGCTTGACCTAAGAATATACACCGGGACATGGACATTCTATCTACAGCGGGATGAGTCTAATATATTTCAATCGTTCGAAAACACCAGCTACAAGCACACAGTGCAAGGGGCATATGGGTTCCAGCTGTGTCGGCCCACAAAGCCGTTCCCAAATGCACGCAGCCCTTGGCGCCTCCCAAGCTGGTTAAGTTGAGGAAACTCCATCACACTGGATGCACGGCAGTTGTTCAAGAAATGTGCATAAATTTGCCGTGTGAAGGAGGGCACGGCCCTTCACCCAGGGACCTCTCTGATGCCAGGCCTGTTCCCGACCCCAAGTTTCCTTACACTTAGATTGATGCTCGCAAGAGCTGGTCTAGTGAGCACATTGCCGGTGCATTAGACCTTGACTTGCATAACCGAAAGAATGCTGTTTCGGCAAAACTGAATTGTTTGAACATCACGCGTTAGCCCTTTACAGAAGAGTGGGGTGAAAACAGCTTGCTCAACAGTTCAAACTCGCAGATACACAGTGGAGCGTCCTCCACCGCTTCAGCACCAACTGATACCCTCTTCGTTGGACGGGCAGTATCAGCGATGACCCGTCCCCCTGCAACTGTCACGAGCCTTTGACACAGGCGGTGACACACACACACACACTCACACATATTTATATGTTATATATATATATTTACATACACATACAGTATACTAAGCCAAAGCAACCGGGCTCTCCCATGCTGCCCCCAGATTTAAAAGCTATTGAAAGCTAAGTAAGAAAGTAAGGAAACATCCTGAGACCCATCCATTCCTGTCCAGTGGCACACCTTGCATTGCAGCTTCCCTCCGCTGGGTGCCACGTTCCTCAGCTCCCAAAGAAGCGCGCGCTTCTAGTGACGTGGAAACACCACATGTTTGGTATTCGGACCATGGTCCTCCAGGTGGCCATGCCACCCACCTATATATTGTACATATAGACATTTATCCAATGTGTTCATTGTGTTTGTCTTTTTTTTGGTGTTGTTTTGTGTGTGTCTTTCTTTTGCGGGGATTTTTTTCTCCCTCACATCAGCAAGAGAAAACGTGGATGGCAGGGATGCCCTCGGATCGAAGCATCTTTTCATCCAACAACTGGTGGTGCCATCCACGTTTCACCCGTTTTCCAAGTGTAGTGGTCGAACGTGCCGAACCTGTCCTGGCCGAGATCCGAGCCGAAACGTTCTGCGTGCCTTCACCGCAAGGATCATGGGGGGGTCTGGGATACAAAAGCCGCAGTGCAAAGCCACTATGTCGTGTCAACTGATTGTGTCAGCTTCCGGATGCAAGGGAGGCTCAGAACAAGTACACACATATATAATTAATCAAACATAGACTATCAACTGCTGCACCTGTCAGGATTGCCAAATTACATGGCCACTTGACACGTGACCAACTGGGTCCTGATCTCGGCCCAAGAGTCTCTTCCATAAACTGCATCATCTTCTCCTCGTCACTCCTCCAAGGCAGAACTGCTTGCATCATGTCATCAACGACTCCACCATCTTCCATCATTTCTCCAACCCACATATTCCTCGGCTGAAGGGGCAGCGATGTGTGTGTGTGCCGCCTGCATGCAAAGGAAAATGGAAAGGACCCTGATCTGAATGGAACCCTAGTTTCTACAAGTTCGCAGCCAGGGCAGCATCCTGGCGCCTAACACGTGTTATACAACTCAAGAGTATCCGGGAGATAGCTTCTAAAACTGCTGATGTTCAAACATTTGCAAACCTAACAAGCTGGGCCGTATGCTCTGGGACAAGGACAAACGCTGCCAGTCCCAGAGTTGAAGCAGCTGAAGCTTGACTAATTCAACCTGAAAGTTCGGATACTATAAAATAGTCCATGAACTTCAACTGATTTCCAACTGAAAGTTCCGCATCCCAAGTCAGGAATGCAACATGATTCAACTACAGAAGTTGAATCCTCCAGCCAGATCCTCCAGCCAGCCCACCATATTTCATCGTTTGTTTTGCCTCCGGTCATATCTGTCAGAATGCCGGAGCCCTTTCGGACGACTTCCATCATATCCCATAGACTCCATGCATGTAGTACTTGCAAACATTAGGCTCATAAACGGGACAAACGCATGTATGTATATACAGATTATATACATATAAATATTCCGTACATGGAGGCTTTGAGTCTGAGTAAGACCCAGAGTTTTCAGCAGCCAACTAGCACCAGCGTCAGAAATTGATCAATGTCGAAGTCCTCCAGGTCCATATCTCCTGGAAACGGCGGGGCAGAAGCGTAGAAAAGCATCTGGAAGCGAGTTTCGAGCAAGCGTCGGCGTGCCTCGAGGCTGAGGACCTCTCAGATGCATAGCTTATGTGCTGACCGGTCCGGTCTTGGCTGGTGACCGGTCTGGGGTTGGTCGCCACTCAGTTGTCGACTTACGGATCGGCTCACCGCTGAATGGACCGAATCAACGGCTAGGAAGTACAAACGCTGCAGCCAAATCTTGTTTCCTACAAGCATGATACTACGCATGATCTGCGAGAAAGCCATATGATATGGCACCCTTGTTGAAATCCAGAAGCACAAAAACAGAAATCCTACTCGGCCGCCCCTGTAGGATCCATGAATCATCCAAACCGCCCAACTGGGACTTGCCATGGACTTCGTACTGGACTGCGCTACTAGTAATACTTGAACCGTTGAAAAACGGAACACCAACACAAACAACACCAAGAAACCAACTCTCAGTAAAGACCGCCGTGTCCGCGAAGTGGCAGCGGCTGCGGCCTTTTTATCACTTGAGCCAAAAGTACAATGTTCATGAACTGTGTCTATACATATGAGGTGTACTTTACGCAGGAAACTTCAAGTCCCCCCTCATAGTGAGATGAACATATGTACAGCTAGTATTCCAGGTCTGAGACAGTCGCTTCGTTGCTTGAACCGTCTGTGACCTGACAATTCCTATCGAAAGACTGCAAGCTTAACCTAACAGGCTTACGAACGGCAGCTTGGGAGCGGCGCTTCAAGCAGCCAGTCACCCTACATGCAAGTTTGGCGCTACGCTGGGCAGTAGCACTGTGCTGCATGCATTGTCATGACTTTCATTCGAGGCAGATCTAACTTAGTTTCGAGCTGCTGCTGGTTATCGCTTAGCTTTAACCATTTCATTTATTGCAGATCTAGCTTAGCTTTGAACTGCGGCTGACTATTGCTTAGCTCTAGTCATGCGAGCTCCTGCCTGCATCATAAGACGGGAGCGGACTCAGGGAGAACTGCAACAACTCCAAGGCATTTCCCCATTTGGACAACGGTAAGCCTTTAGTAAACACGTCACCCTTCTGCTGAGTCGTTTCGATATGCTGGACTGTGATGTCATCAGCATTGTTGACTGTTTCGGCAGTTGAGGCCACATTTATGCGGTGGGTTTTACTCAAATGCCTTAATTTATTGGAGTAACCTTTCTGGATAATCGAGACCACGGCCGTATTGTCTTCGAAAACCTTCAGGGTCATTCCGGGGATCAACGCTTGCCATACCTCCAAGGTAGGAATCGCCTCGGAGAATAAGGCACTGGAAAGTGAGACAAACTCGCTCTCCGTGGTCGATCTTGCAACCACGCTCTGCCTCTTGGAACTCCAACTCACTGGCGCAAAGCTGGAGGGACCCGCAACTGCAAGGATGAATCCAGAGGTTGAACGCATTGATTTGATATCACCACCGAAATCGGCATCGCAATACAGAGACAAGTTCAACTGCTCTGGCGGATCACGAATGCACATTATCGGAGAGTATTCATGGGTCTTTTGCAAGTACCCGATGAGTCTTGCGACTCTTTTATCGTCGTTGGCCGACCACACCGTAATGTGTTTCGCCAACAGAGTGACAGCAAATGTGACGTCTGGCCTGCTAATGCGACAGAGCCACATCAACTTCATAATTAATTTGGCCGAATGTGGCGAGAGCTGTCCCTTGACCTCGTCATCAGCGGGGATCAGGGCTCCATCGTCCCATGAGGGCGAGGAGTAGGCCTTCACCGGCGTTTTCGCCAGCTCTTCATACAGTTCAACGCACTGTTTTGCGAAGTCAGATGATTCTAAGGCCACTGCTTTGCTCCCTTGAAACCACACAAGCCTATGGTTTCGTCCTAAGACTCTTCCAAATTCTGACGGTGGATCTAAATTTATATACTGCTTGTGGGTTTTCCAGAATCCTTCATGTTCGGAGGCTACTCCTGAGAGTGTGAGGTCGTCTACATAGACGCTCATCACTAGAGAACGACCGAACCGAAAAACCGAGGGCATCTCACTGAACTCGACACCGTTAAGTTTTTCTTGCAAGATTTTGGAAAGGTGGGCCTGCCAGTGCGCCGACGACTCTGGATGGCCATAAAGGCTCTTGTACCTTGTACAGCTGCGCGCAAGGCATGTGGATGTGCTTCTTGGATTCTGGCGCAAGCTCAGGCGGTAGCATCACAAATGTTCGATGCTTCGTGCCGAGTGCGGATTGAATATAGGCCCGGACGCAATCGGATGTTGAACAAGTGTTTCCCTCGATCATTGAAAAGGCTATCACTGTGTTCAATGCTGCAATTGAACTTGGAGCGGAAGCAGCAAGATCTTGGAAGATGGCGCTTAAGCCCCCCTGATCCTTGACTGCGTCACCTCGGAAAACAATCCGAGCCTTGATCTTCCAGTCAGCTGGGTTCTTTTCATATCCCTTTATGCTAACTATCACCATTAGGGCTCCGAAATGCAATGTTTCATTGGGAAATTCCCTGATCACGTCTGCCTTTGACCTAATCTCATCTTCAATCCAAGTCCCTTCCAAAACCAAACCATCTTTCTGGCTTTTAATGGCAAGGTAGACTTCTGGGCGACCCTTCCATTCAGCACGCTCTAACAGACGATGAACGAATGCTGGTGTTACAAACTCCTTACATCCACTCTCATGCATGAGGACATCAATGGGAACACATGGCATCCCTTTGACAACATGCGGCCGATGTGAATGAATCACGCGAGGTGTGCACGGCATGCAAAACACATGAGCATTGATGACATGTGGAAACAAAGCATGCAACATGATCTGACAAAGAGGCTCTGGGTAGAAAGCTGAGTTTCGAGTGTATTTCCCTTCAAGGGGTGCATGCTTGTCATGCGTGCACTTCAACATTCCCAAAGAATCAGCTAACCTCTTATTATTCGTGACAAACCTCCACGGCTTTCGAGCGGGTTTGTTGTCCTTGGCAGTGATTCCCACTGTGCAGCCATCGAAAGTGGCAGACAGCAATTGCCTTTCTGTGATCCAGGAAGCTAGGGGTTCACTCATCCACCCGGAACAATACCTTGGCCACTCAAAAGACACAAAACCACCATTATCAAGAACATGGTTTGCAACCCTGATGAACGAATGCATCATTGAAACACTTTCCCTACGCTTCTCTCGAAGGATGTTGGACAATCTTGGGTTCTTTGCTTCATTCAACCTTTGCCAAGCACTCCAGGGACCACACTCAATGGAACCATGGATTGAACAACCAGGGATGGCTTTCACTTGCTCAACAAGTTGGTCGATGTTTGCTTTACTTGCGAGATCTATGTGTTCCTTACAAAGTCTTACAACTTGAACTCCAAGCTCCTCACCAATCCTACCGAGCGCTGAGTCTGAAGCACAGGCAAATTCAAACAAAATCTTTCCACCTGGGGAATTGTGGATCTGACTGTGTAGACGCTCAGGCTTTGCAGCTGCTCCTAGACAGCTCTCATTGCTTGCAGCGACTGCTGATGCATACGTTTCTTGAACGATTGTTTCTGAAGCTTTCTTGGAAATGGCATCATGAGACATGGCAAGGACGGCATTAATGCCTGCATGAACACGAGCTTCATCACCCTCAGGTTCATTTTCATCATCATCAGAGGGCGGAGGACATTCTGGGACAATCTCCTCTTCATCCTCTTCGGCCTCTGACAAAACAGTTGGGGTGTACTCTTCGTCAATCAAGTCTCCTAGGATCTCCGGCATTTCGAAGGTCGGAGGCTCAGGTGCTGGGGTCGAAGGAGCAGCACCGAATGCTTCCTCATACCGGGCAATGCATTCGGCATTGTGTGCAGACGAATCAGCATCGCAACCTTTGCATCCCTTGGTCGGGCCGATCTTCAGCATCCTACTGTACGTGATGTAAACTCTGCGTGCTTTAGACTTAGTCTCTGGGGTATCTTCGATGAAAGGAATTGGCAGAGGATCCACGTCAGCGAGTTGACGAACATCAGGATCCGAGAAGTCATTCAATGCCTTCTCTGCGAGATCTCTCAACGGAAACACACGCTCATCACGAACATAAACCTCTTGATCCGGGGCGACCACAATGGAAACATGACCTTGCTTCAAGGAGTTGTAATCCACAAGTCTCAAAACACCTTTGTACCGACACCCAAACTCAAGCTTCCAACCTCCCATTAGGGCTGGTGAAGAATTGGGGGCGAGTTTCGACTTCTCTTGAAACTTTGTCCTATAGAAAACCAACTGACCCAAAATGTAGTCTGCACCTTTGAACTCAGAACCAAAAGCCTTTGACCAATGCTCGATGCTCATGGAAACGGCTGTGTACTGGCATGTCAAGGTCCAAAGCTTTGGGAACACAGCGAATCCTGCTTGCAAGTGTATGCTCCTACAAGACTCTTCAAAGGACCTGATCTGTCTCTCAAGTACACTGTTGTGAGGCCATCTCCTTGGCAATGATGCGTCTGACAACCAACCGAGTGAACGAATGGCTTTCAGAAGCTCCTTGGCACAGTCTGACTTACAAATGGTTTGAGGGTTCTTGGCCTTTACACCCACAAAATGGTTCAGGGCTTCCTTGACCGAATCAGTATCTTTTGTTGCCAGAGGGTATGCTTGGAAAACTTTGCTGAACAAGTCCATCACCACAAGAACAACAAATTCCTTCCCCGACGAAGATTTTGAAACGATCATGTGATCACATGCAATTTGCTGGCCGAACGCTTCAGGAACAGGAAGATCACTCTCTTCGTCTGCTCTACGATGGGATCTGATGCGTTTTGAGTACAGCCTAGCACGATTGCAAACATCACAAAGTGCGGACTTAGGGAAATGTGTCATGCAATGCTTGGTGGACATTGCAAGTTCCCGTTCACGCACGAACTTCTCAGATTCAGGGACCTTTGGCAAAGCCTCACCTGGAGCAACGCCACGAATGTCGTCTGCAACTGAATGCGGAATCGCACCTTCAGGAGACCGGACCTCGGGTTCTGCTTCAACAGGTTCCACCTCACCTGGTACGCCTGGAATGAAATCAAATGATCTGGAGAAATATGGTACATACTGATCAACCCTCGTTGCTCGAATCAAATTGCTTTCATCCGTTTGGAACTGGAATTGATTGCAGTCTTTTATATAGCATGGGAGTTGATTGGGCAACCACAAAAACCCCATACCATTGCTGACATCAAGACCAACAGACCGGACAAACGGGCATGAGTCAAGCACGAAGTGATTTGCCTCTTGAAAGATGCCTTCACGATCCCTGAGACCGATTGCATCGCTCGAATCTCTCTTTCCTCCACCTGTCGAAAACCTCAGGCTCTCATGTGAAGGAAGCTGGAACTGGCTGAACACCTCTGGAGACACTCCCTGCCTTTCTAAGCTTTGCGGAGAGACGAGATGTCGGCCGGCACCTGTATCTGCAGCAAACTCTAGACGGTCTAGACGGCCTTCAACTGGCATGGCCATCGATGAGAGGGCAGCAACAATGGCAACAGCAGCCATTGCCTTGGCTTTCGGCTTTGGCTGGGCCTTTGGCTTAGCCGTTGCTTCGGCTTTGGCATCAGGCTTGACCTTCTCGTGCAAGTACGCGCATGAACTGCCGTGCACACAACCGGAAGGCATTTGGAAGAACACGCAAGGCGTTTTCGCCTTGTCTTCCTTGCTCAAACCCTTGCCTTTACCTTTTCCCTTCTCACCTTTGCCTTTATCACCTTTGCCACCTTTACCCTTAGGATCACTCTTTGATGACGAAGGATCAGCGGGAGCCGCCGGTGTCTCCTTAGGAGGTGGTGGCGGAACCGTGGCAGCCTTTGCAGGGTTTGCAAGAGGATTCGACTTCTCCTTAGGATCTTTCTTCCACGACTTTGGCTTCAACGAAAGCTCAATGGACCTAGCATTGGTGTCTTCCCTTTCCTCAACGAGGTGCTCCTGCAACCTTCCCCAAAGGAAGTCGAAATCACGAAGTTCCGAGCTATATGCGGAGCGTTTGATCTCGTCGATGGTCCTTTCAAGCTTTCGAACGTTTCTCAACCGATGGAACAACCATTCACCTAACATTCTCTGATTCGGCCAGTCGGCAGGGTCAATGGAGTTCAAGGTCTTCATGACTGTACCGCTAAACTCCTGGAGATCTTTCAACGAAAAACCATTGAGTTCCACTTGGAAGATGCTTTGCGATGTGAGCAATGAACCACGAGTACGATCGAGATCGAAATGTCGAGCAACCATGTACAAGATCATCCTACCCCGAGGGACTGTGGACTGACGAGTGCAACGCTCAACATACCCCTGGACTTTGAACAACAACTCAGGGCTTGACCGCACATTCTTGAGAAGCTCAGATGCAAGCCACCTATCAAACCTTGGGATCAGGCCTGATGAACTCTGGCATTCTTTCTCCTGACCTACCTCGAAAGCCGTTGCAGCCCACTTGGAAAGGTATTCATTTGACGAAATGTCCAAGCGGCCAAGCATCAAAAAGAAGTTTGTCTTCCAAGCTCTAAAGTCTGCAGCACTCTGAGGGACCACTTCCAGTTTGGTGTGCAACAAAGCTCTAGAATCAACAATCTCCCTTTCTGAGGCATGTGAGGGCGATTCTGAAATCAACTCCTCTTCATCGTCGTCCGACCCTCCACCCCCCCTGATCGAATGGATCGGGCGGACCTCCGGGAAAGCCTTTGCCAACACGAAGTCCACGAGAAGGTCCTACAGGAGGTGAGGATGACTGGACAACTGTGTCATGCGAACGATCGAACAAAGGTCGAGGCTCACGATTAGGATCCGTGCTATTTCGGCTTGATTCAAGTGTCAACATTCTGGAACTGAGTGACTGAACAGCTTCCATGATTGACTCCAACATTCTATTGCCTCCTTCAGTGTCCTTAGGCGAAGATGCATCAGGCACAGGCTTCGGAACGAAAGCAGGCGCAGGCGACTGGATGACCGCGGCGCTTGAAGCAGCCAGTCGGGCCTCCAGCGACGAGATGCGATCTTGTCGAGACGAAGACTCTTGGCAAAGACGCTGGATTTCTGAATCTTTATGGCCTAAAAGGTTGAGGGACTTTTGGTTGAGGTCAGACAAACGGTCGATCTCATCTTTCGCTTTGCGAAGTTGACCCTCAAACATGGACTGGTTGAATTTGATCTGGTTCTCAAGGGTTTGCTTTACCTCTTGGACCGCTTCATGCAAGCTGGTGATCATGACATCTTTCTCGATGTGACCTGTTTGGAGCATTTCGTTCTGACTACGGAGTTCTTCGACCAGGGATGTCAGGTGACCGATGTGAGCTGTGGCTTCCTGAAAGACTTGTTGAGCGACACCTTCAAAGTGCGAAGCTCTAGAGTCCGCTTCCCCGATCAGTCGTTGAGACTCAGCTACAACACGACCGAACTCTGCATGAACGATACCAACATATGCCACCTGGACCGTGTTAAAAGACCGGGCGTCATGAAGGTGCAATTCTTGTGTCAAGCTAGTTTGATTAGGCATGACTTCATCTTCCTCTCCGGTACCCTGGAACTCGGATGGACCAACCGACCGCTGGAGCAACCCACTGGACGAAGGCAAAGACCGAAGGTCAGTGAGCGCAGGAATGGATGGTTCAACCACTGATGACCCCTCTGCTTGAACCTGGGACTGAGTGCCTTTGGGCATGTTTTTGATGACTCTGCTCAAAGATCTCTTTGGAGGTTTTGATCTCCTTCCCTCTTGGGGTGTTCCGGAACCATGGGATGATTGGGACCTGCTCCGAACAGCAACTGCCAAACCACCAACAGTAGTATCTGAACTGACATTCAACGATGAAGATTGCTCTTCTGACATGATTCACTGGCCAACTATTCAAACTCTCCCAAACCCTTCTTTCTTTTCGGCGGGAACGAATGCACAATTGGCACAGGCTCTTTCGGGAACTGGCCTAACGAACAAGGCTCCGCGGCGCTCAAAGCAGCCGGACCGGAGCAGCTTCGATGCAACTTCACTCTTCCTCGTCAACTGGATTCGAATGGTGATGCACAAAAGTCACCAAACGATCCACCAACCAAGGTGCTGAAAAACTCCAAGACCTTTGCTCTTCGTCAAAAATCGCTCCGACTCGAGGCTTGCGAATCTGAATAGCGATGAGGCTCGCCGCACTGAACTCACGCAGCACCTCAACGTTGTCGTCCAAAATCACAGCCTGACCACGAGTCAACGATCTCAGCACCTCAAACTTTCCACTTGGGCCCGTCCTTTCACGAGTGATGATCACACAATCAACCGACAATGAACTCTGTTGTACTGCAGTGATCAAGTTCCTCTCGTTCACCACACTGTCGTGAATGTGCGACAAAACAATGATCTTCACTCGACAACGCAAGCCGACCTCTTCAATCTCCCTTCGCAAGCGACGAACTGCTGCAACGTGGCCCGCAGGCAGATTACCAATATGATCCACACGATCCGGAGGATTGACACTCCGATCAACGTCAAGGACCTGATGATAGTCCAATGCAATCACCGGATCAGAGCCCCAGTGATTCGGCCTTTCTGCAGCCAGCCTCAACGTATCACCGTTCGCCCACACGTAAAACTTGGCTGAAGACGGAAAAGTCAAGGCCTCTCTGTAAACAATGTCAACTCGCGACCACGGGTGAAGAACGACTCCAGGCGCCGGGTGGTAGTACTTGAGGATGTCGTAAGGCCGATTTCCGGCAGGCGTGTCAACAACACTCGAATCCGCTCGACTCGGAACAGGCCTTGGGGCCGCAGCCAAACTTGACGAGCCAGGCGAATGATCGAAGACGTACGGATTGTAGAGCCTTGAACGCGGCACAAGATGCTCAGCCTGCAACGAAGTCAAATCAACTGCTGATGTATGCGCAACAAACTCAACTTCGTCCGTCTCCTCACCCGAATCCTCGCTTGCACTCGGCTCCCAAAACCTAGAAGTTCCAAGTGGCCTTCTCTGACCGCCAGCGTGAACAATCGGAACCGTCGCTCGATCGCCTCCCGAATTGACAATGTACGCCTCTCTGCGTCGCCGTGCGGCAGCTCCTCCCCGGATGCCGCGCCTCGGAGGATCAGGAGGCGTCGGTGGCAATGGCCTCCTTGGCGGTGGCCCTGGGGGTTCAGGAGGCCGCAGCGTCCGACGGATTGGCGAACGGGACGGCTCTCGAGGACGCCGACCTGACATGCACGGGTTTTCTGTGGACCCCGCAACCACACTAATGAATGATGTTGTTGTGTTGTAACAGAAACCGAAAAACAATCAGAAGACGATACGGCTGATAACCACTTGAACCGTTGAAAAACGGAACACCAACACAAACAACACCAAGAAACCAACTCTCAGTACGGACCGCCGTGTCCGCGAAGTGGCAGCGGCTGCGGCCTTTTTATCACTTGAGCCAAAAGTACAATGTTCATGAACTGTGTCTATACATATGAGGTGTACTTTACGCAGGAAACTTCCAGTGTAATGAACAAGACTTATATATATATACACCGTATATTATATATTATATATATGATGCTTTTGCATGTTTTTGACCTAGTTGACTTGCCATGATTTCGGGTAATGTACAGCATATACTAATTTAATGGATATAATGGATTATCTTGACCTTGATTAAATGGACTGAAAGCAAGACTCGCGAATCTACCTCCGCGATTCGCACCCTGCGTGTCCCGCGCGTCGCTCCGTCGCGCCGTCGGCCTGACTTGTCGTATTTCAATCGCTTCTTGTCATCGGAGAGGATCGAGTAAGCCTCGGTGATCCTCTGGAAAATGGGTTTGGCATCCGGCGAAGGGTTCCTGAGCCCAAGATTGTCCCAATCTTCGGGACACATTTTGTACAGTTGCTGTGCCAGGCAAGAAGGGACTGGAGAGTAAGGGTTTCTTCTCTACGACTTCAAAGCTTCAACGACACCGGCCCTGTTTGAGGGATCAATCGTGAGATGATTTTGCAAACCCCTTTGGACAACTTCAAAATACCCTTGCAATTTGTAGAGGTCACTAGTTGATAAAGATGTATAACAACAAATCACGTTTGGCTGGTTCATTTCTAGTGCATTGAATGGAATCGTCTCAGTTTGGTTGGATGATAGGAGGCACATATCCATTCGTTACCACTACGCACATGCAGAAATGACATTCCTCAGGCCAAAACACATTCATTAAAAGTTGCGTAGGTGTTTTCAAATCCCTATTCTATTGCACTGTAACACTGTAGCAATGTTAGCACTGTTAAATTTGACGATGTTTGAAGAGCACAAATCTTCTGCACTCAGGCTTGGGCATGTTTCTTGACATTTATGTCTTCCAAATGGAAAGTTGTCACCTGTGTGCCTTCAGAAGTGCAAGCACATGGGGTCTTCGTTCGATGAGACAGGCAGATTCTTTCTGATGTTCTCTTCACTTCCGGGGTGCATGTTCTGCTCCAAGCTGCTTGTCCGGATGGTATCTCAAAGATTTTTGTCGATACGCACGTTTCAGCCTCAGAACTGACAGTGGTCAGGTGGTCACGATGGCTCAGCCGCATCGGGTTTTCGGTAAATCAAGAGCTTTGTGTGCAAACTGGTCTGAAACCATGCGAAACTGGCTCATCTGCAGGTGTTTGGCTTGGACCCCACTGCGGGGTCAACAAACGTTCTTCCAAAACCCCGGGACTGTCATCGGTGTCAAGGCCGAGATGCTCATCAGCTTGTGCGCCACGTGAGACCTGTGCGTCATTGACACAAACACACGGGAGATCGAACCGATGCGGTGCTTGTGTACCAGAGTGCCATACGGTGCTACCACTGGTGCTACCCTCTCCAGTGGTGTACATCGATGGATGGTGAGAACACGAGCCGGTCGTGGATCCACACATCAGGAGTAGCAGGACTGCCCAGGACGAAATGTGCAGCAACTTGTGAGACGGTCGCCGAATTAGAGTAAACATAACATACTGATTATGTTTATGTAATATGCAAAATATTGTAACATCTGTTTTGAAAGCAGCCGTGAGTCTTGTGCCACTGTGACACTGTCAACAAGGTCCACCCACACCCACAACCCAAGAAGCTTCCCCGATCCTGAGATAGATTCTAGATGTCGCGCTTGTGTCTACCTCTGCCCAACAGTGTTGCCCCATAGTCCCCCCCGAATATTGGAGTTCGTTGCTGGTCTCTCTCCATCGCGACCCCACTGGCGCCACTTGAACTGCGAACAGGAGACCCCCAAGACTTTGTACAAATCCTTCTCGTCGAGAAGGTCCACCTGCGAGAGTCAGATCTGCCGAACGACGAAGACATCCGACTGACGAACGCTGCGACGACTCTGTGGACCTTTGGACGTGGGATGGCAGCAGAGCCTGCACTGAGGTTCTCGTTGGCAGCTCTTCTTTTGCAAGGTCCACTCGATTCTTACATGCTATGCATTGAGATGCCGGTTTATCTATCAATGGTCCGATTCACGGCAAGCAACAGTTATCATGCAGCAACTGTTAGGGCATTGCTCTTCCTGAGGAAGAAGTCAATGATGAATGACCCTTGAAGGTGCCCAAGAATTTGAACCTACATTAGCTGGGTCGCCTGGATCCTGTAGATTCTCTTTCGCTTTGTTTTTGGGCTGGCCTCATCGGTTGCACCATTGTCCCCCATGGCGCCGACAAGGAACAATGGCCCTTTTCCCCTCTCCCAGCCAACTGCTCTGACACCTCTGACTGACTGCTGGCTACCGAGACTTCAAGTGTCAAAGCCATGAAGGTTGGAACCCAACAAGCAAAGGTGCGCTCAGAGCGCACACCAAAAGGACATACTGATACTGCTAATTTGATGAGGTTTCTGCACGACCCAAGGTAGAAATGCAAGTTCTAATGGGCTTTGCAGCATGTCTTTAGTGGGTATTGGGCATCCAGGGGATGCCTATTGCTACATGGGCGTTCATCAAGGTTTCAACACTTTTCGACTTTGAACACCTTGGCTTTACTTTTGATCTATCTCATTAATCACCCCTGCATGCTTTGCATTGACCCGACATTTAGACCTAGCTGAATTGAAGGCAAAGCAAGAAAATGGCTGCAGGTCAGAACAACCATGGTCAAGCAACTGCTTTGCCCTTTCACACGAATGGCTGGTCGATGCTCTACTTTGATGGCGGCAGGCTTAAGATCGGGAAGTTGGGAAGCAACACCATCGATTTAAAGAGTGCCGCCTCACCTCGTATTCACTAACATTCTGATCCTTTGGTGGCGCCGTGCTTGGAAGAACCTCTCGAAGAAACAAAGACCGCCCAGAGGTCCATGCCCAACTCCGGGCTGAACGGCGTGGACCTGCTCCAGCCGGTGAACTCCATGTACTTTCCAGCTCCAAACAACAGGCTCGTCTTCTTTTGTGCTCTGGGGGGGAGGCAAATCGGACGGAGTCGTGCGGAACTAATGGTGCTCTTCTTTTTTTATGTGGGAAAATCCCAAAACTCTTCAATTTCACGACCTAAAACGTTTGCCTGGAAACCAACGGGCAGCTTAACACCGGTCTTCTCGGTCAGGCCGCGGCCCGGTCGCCGAACGACCCCCGGGGTCGCCGGCTCGGTCGCTGGCCCGACCTCCTGGTCCGCTTTGGGATCTGTCGGGGTGCAGTCCGCCACCTAAGAGATCGGATGCACCAGGTCGACTGGTTGGAGACTCCGAAATGACCCAGGATGGTGGTACAGGCCAAATGGCCATCTCCGCCATTTTGTTGGGGGGAAGTTCCTTTTTGTTGGTGTGTGATGTTGTACCACCGTCTAAGGATCCTAAAAGAGGGTCCAAGTTGCCGTTCTCAGCACGCCAAGACCAAGGGAGTCTTAGCCTTAGCGGGTTTTGAGGGGACAATGCCACGCCCAATTTGTGGCATCCAAAATGATTGAAACACTCTTAGATCCGATCTGTTGGGGCTGGTCTCGTCGCAGGTCTCAGTCTCGCAGCTCCTTTTTCAGTCCCACGCTGCAGGAGCTCCAGCTTCCTAGGCAACGGGAGCGAGTGGACCGAAGCGCACTTCTCCGGCGCGTGCGCCCAAGCCGAACCGGAAAGTTTCAAACGATGCTCTGGAAACATTCAATGATCAATTTACATCAGATAGACCTGAAAGAACACTGCCTATGCCTATACTATCATACAGGGCTACAGAACTTAAAATCAATACATGTGTCCTCACATCCGGAACCCCCGATGATGGAGCTGTTCTCAAAGGATTACCCTTTGACTCACTCACGAGGAAGTGAAAAATGGTCCCCTGGGTATCATGCACAATGGATGCACCCATCAGTCACCAGCGTCCCATCCTTGACCAGCAATAACAAAACAATGCAATATTTCCCAAATACCCTAGAAAATGAGACCTCGGAAATGACCCGATTTTTCAAACAGAATCTACAATCTACTTGAAGGGTCCAGAGTTCGCTCTGTGGGCATGGCCAAGTCTCTGAAGCTCAACAGCAGGTGGGGTGGATCAAGGACGGGTTGTGCCGGCAAATGCATCCCTGGAGCTTCCAGGGCGTTGGTTTGGGTGGGACGTGGTGGGATCTGGGCCATGCTGAAGAAACAGTCGCGGCATGCTTTGGCCAAAGAAAGCCAGGAAGTCCCACAATCGGGTCCCACACCTCTGGTCAAGCCAGGATGGTCTGAAGTCTGGGAGTGGAAGACGCACAGCGTGGGTCAAATGTGCATCCAGCGGCTCGGCTCAACAAAACACACCACAGCCTTGATTGCAATGTGTCGAGGTTCGGATTCCAGTTCGGATTCCAAGGCGCTTCATCCTGAACCCTCTTCCCATCTCCCTCGAAGGCACGGGCTGACGCCCCGTGCTAAAGCAAGTCGACTCATGAACGACCTAAAACCAAACGCCTTGGGGTCATCTACCCCTTGGTCAATGTGCGCTCTCGGATGTGCAGCCCCCTGGGTTCTACGAATTGTCCTGCCAACAGGGAATGCGTGTGTGTGTGTGTGTGTACTACCAGGACCATCCAATGGATGTCCAATGAAGATCCCTGTGTAGTGCAGGGTAGTCCATCATTGGACACTTATTGCACAATGCTAGTATGTTCTTGTTTTTCTTATGGATCTGTTCTATGTATTGCATGTGGACGATGTCGTTTTTCTGCCTGGCTCTGTATCTCTGTCAAGTATTAGTATAGCATAGTATACTATAACCTCCTCATCTCCACTGGGCTTTGCGCCCGGCCGAGGCAATGGCCTGCACGTTCCAGGACGGCCAGCGACAGGACGTCCACCACCGCGGAACACGTGCCGCCGCGACTCGACACGCCTGCTGACACGACAACGGATAGGCCGGCTGCAGCGAGGCATCCGCCGCCACGATGGCGACATCGTCCAGGGCAATGCCTTCACCACCTGAAAAACACAAATGGTGTGGCGGAGGGTCCAAAGCGACCTGGATTTGACTGCTGGGCACCTCTGGAGAAGGAGGGCCCGAAGAATTCGAAACCTCATGTCTGTCAAATGCATCGATGAGAGGTTCTGAACGAGGCTTAGGATGATCAACGTGTGCGAGGTAAGAAGCCCCCAAGCACTCATGCAAGATGGGAGGTTGTCACATTGCTGGTTGGAGCTCCACAGCGAAGCACAGGGAAGGACCCAAAAGGACCTCGGGCCTTGACACGGCGTCCAACAGCTCCATAGCTCCAATAGCCTGATTAGTACCTTGGGACATACCCCGGCCCACCAACAGTTGTGATGTGTTTTTCCCGGGTGAACTTCGGATTGGCCAACTTGCTCGAAACCATTAGGAACCCCTCGTAACCGGAAGATCCCCCCGTCTTCAGCATCCTTCGCCCCGGAGGTTCTTCGGAAAACATCCGACCTCGGTTCTACGTCCAGTTCCATGTTGCTAGCTGGGACCTTTGGGAGAGACCCATGGTGAGTGGATCACCGATGGCACCGACCCTCGGGTCGCAGTCGGTGCCGTCCTCGGGTGAAGTCGCCCAGGATGGCGATCCGGGAGACGTTGGTCCTAGACGGGCGGTCGCCCAGGCGCGCGGGACGACATGGCCTGGTGATGAACACCCATAAACACCCTCCAGATAGGCATAGACCCCAGATGAGACCCCAAATAATTAGGCACCTCATGGCACCTTTTCCTATACTTGAAGTAAGAACCCCAATATCTCTCGGTATCTGGGGGAAGAAAACACATTGGGGTTTGAGGGGCCAAACCCTTGAGCACTATGGAGGGTTCAATGAGTGTGCGAGGATTCTTGGGCTAATACCTCAAACACGTTGGGTGGAAATCTGGTTCCTTCCTTGATTGTGCTGGGCCCCCCTGTATTGTTGCTAAAGAAGTGAAGTCTGCAACCACCAGCCGCCCAGTGCTTTCCTCCCCGCAAAACAAATCCAAACAAACAACAAGCAAGAAACTATCTATCTGATGTTGTTCCATCATCAACACATGGCTGCCCAAGATCAGGTGGAGTTCCAAATTCACACATGGCCACCAGCTTGACTTTTTCACTGCCAACCAACCAACTGTAATGACGGACAATTGAAATAAAGACAAAGACTAATGAAGTATTAAAAAAAAAACACCTAATATATATATATATACATGCAAATTAAAGTCTATAATATTCCTCCCTCCCAACTCCCGATCATCCGCTGCTTTGTTCTCACCACACAAAGGAATACAAAGGTGTCCAAAACCACCCCCTAAGACTATGCTTTTTAAGGGAATGCTTTACAGTAATAGATCCTAAGGCTCAGGGGTGGTTTATAGACACCCTTTGGGTGGTGATGGCGTGTTGGCACTCACTTACGCAGGTTAATCACTTTAGACTGGGGACCTGCAGTGCAAACTACCCGACCCAGCGGGATGAAGCACGGTGCCAAGACCCAAAAAACATCATCCGACGACTTTCGTCGCTCAGTCTCAGGATGGCTGCGATCTGACATTGCGTGGCATAGGTGAACTCTGCCGCAGAGTTCAGGGGGTCGTAGGACCACCTGAACACTGTCGACGTATCCGGAAATCTAGAGACCCAAATGCTCCATGTATGCTATTTGCCTCTAGGAATGGTTTGGGGGTCGCCGGCATGGATTCCACAATTCCAGTCCCATGGGGGCCCAAAAAGGACCAAAGAGTGAGCCACCGGGAGAAGATCCTTTCCAAAGCACAAAAAGGATTGAAGCTGGTTCTTCCCTGCTCCCGAGGATTCGTTGCAGGTATTGCAGTGCACCTTTACAGAAATTATCTTCATCAGGATGAAAGTCAAACCAGCGAAACCACTGACTGGCTTACAATTATCAGGCAACGGGATGGGCGATCTTCTCTTCAACCTTGGGGCGCCGACACCGAAGGTTCTCCATCTAAGGCCAAACATGGCCAAACACAAGGTCGTCTGACCAGGCAATACGTACCAGAATGTCACACACACTCACAAATAACAATATTTATAATATATAATATATACATATTTATTCATACATATTCATACTATATATAAACCCAATGTACTGTAAATTGTATATATTGTGTGTGTGAGACAGTTTGAGGCACATGTGATAAACGAAAACACCCCTGCTGGCTGTGATGGATGGAGGAGGGGATGGAGGTATATAATACAACATGTTCGTTCCCCCTTCTTGTCATGTTTTCGCCTACCCCCCTTGCATGTCGTCTCCTCTTTCTGCGGTCCATCGATCAAGCGGGAAGCGAAGCCCGGGCTTCGCTTCGCCCGGTCCCATGACCATCCCAGCGCCTGCCATTCTCATGCAAGTATAACTCCATGTACACTTCGTTGCCGATCCACCGGAGAGTCTCATCCACAAAGCCTCGAGATCCGCATTCTGCCAGCTCAAGAGGAAAGGTCTGCGGGCTCCAGGGCATCTGCAGAGTTTCAATGGGGTGGAGTGGAGACAACCATAGCATCACACAAGTCATCAACCGAGGATGTAGCTCGGTATATCAGACCCAGGGACCCAAGGACCTGCAGGTTCAATTCATTTTTCCTCCCCCCTTCACAGTGGGTTAGGATTTGTTCGGATGGTGCCCACTGGCCGCATGGCCAAGTGCATTCTTCCTTCGCATCGGGTCCCATCGTGGTAGGAATCTGTATCTGCCACGCGAGGTGTTGTTACAACAAAGCCACGAGGGCATCGCAGCTGCTTCACTTACGTGGCGAAAGACGGTTCCAAGCTTTGGAGTTCGAAGCCCGCGCGGATGGCGCGTGGGATCTGCTCTGAAGTTGGGTCATCTGCAAGCAGGAATCCCACACATCCCCCCCTCTGGATGGAAGCCAGCCTAAGAATCGCAATGACCGGAAATTACAAGCGGCACCGCCAATGGCGAAAACACATGATGAATCCAAAAAACAACGCACCAACATCTCTGACTTCAGGGCATGACTGCCGTGGTCGATGAGTTCGCAAAGTAGCACTTGCATAGATTGGACCCCACCACCCCTGTCACAGTGCACAAGAAATAGAGACTCTCAACATCTCCGAACGCACCACAAAATCATCGTTCACGTTCCGAGAACGTTCCGAGAACGCCCCCAGTCTACTCGTCTCCTAGTCTCCTGTCGCACACAGACACAGCGGAGCTCGGTCCGTGCCGTGCCAACCCCGAGTGGTCGCCCGCCGTGGTCGCTCCGAGCGGCGCACGATGCGCGCGCCCTGTCCACTGTCACAGGACCTGCCAGGGCTGAAGGTGGTTGGCGCCACCAATGGCAGGAGGGGTGGAGGGACCTGCCTGAGAGGTGCAAGAGGTGTTCGCAGCCAAAACGAACACAATCATTGCCCACTGGTGTGCTTCGGATATGACATGGTTTTCACCCATCCCCAACCAACTAGGAGGAGGGATCACCGAGTAGGAATCAGGTGATTTCTTGAACTTAGATTTGTAGCATTTTGTTGCACTTGTCATTGCATTTGAGGCTGCTACAGGTCAGTTTGAGGTTGCCTAGAGTCTAGTAGTTGTCTACACTGGTGTTTTATAGACCCAACGATCTTTCACAAGAGGAGCGGCCCTCGACTGGGATCCCTGCTGACATTCGATCGTCACCCAGTCCAGTGGATCATTCCTCAGCTCAAGGCTGCACAAAAGCTATTCACAAACACATAAAAATCGGAAAACACATTAAAACACAACGTTCACACACGGTAAGTCTTTCTTGTACTTGGTCCTAAAGAATGCAAATGCAACATCCTGGACTGGGAAGGGTGCAAGCACAAACAGCCTGGCAGGCACGAACAGCCTGCGTCGTCCGTGCCCAGTTTGAACATCAAAAAAATATCGTGACATGGAATGAAAATGCATGGTTGATTTCTTGAACTCAGCGGCATTGAATTTTGAACAAAGCCAAGTTGGGTTGAATATGGTTGATTACCCTGAATGCACGCTCATGCACAACTGGTGATGACCCAAAGAACTATATACCCTGGCACATGTTACATTAAAGGTGGAGTGGTTTCCATACGCCAAAGCTTAAAGAAGCGGTTTTGAGGCATAAATAAGAACTCATGAGCTTAGAGAAAAGAACAAAACAAACAAACACACAATCAGCACTAGTGAAATGACAGCTCAAACAATTGCTTTCTGAACTCTGACTGGCTCCAAGCCTCTGCTCAAGGATCTCTTAGAGGTGAGAACACGGAGAACATGCTGCGTTTGGGGGATCCCTTCTCCAAGCGTCAACTCCAAGAAGTTCCCGTACTGCGACCGGACACGGAAGCGCAGCATGCCGCCATAGGCGGCCGCGAGCTCCTATGGCCCAAAGGCATTCAGAGTGAGATTGCTTTTGAACCCTTCCAGAAAACGATGCGAACATACCACTGAGCACATCGCGCCCAAAATAGTCTCACATTATGTTTTGTAGGCATAACTTCCAGTGGCAGCTGTCCCCTACCAAATGCCCGACGACATCACTTTTGCATAAGAATAGGTCAATTCACCCGCAACTTTGGTGCTAGGATCCTATGTGCTTTCATAATTTTCACAGCAGCGCATCCGCAGTCAAAAGAGCGCAATTGTTTCACAAGCTATAAGCGACTGACTTGCACGTAAAACCGTTGAAGTTTTATAGCATCTTGGTTTGCTGGGGACCTCCCGCCCTGTTCCCTGCGAAATCCGCCGCCTTCCACATGTTCCCTGCAAAATGTCCACGCCTTCCGATGGAAGATCCTGGGAGAGGCCTCGAAGTACCAGCGTGCCAAGTCGATTCCCGTGGCAAAGTCCAGGCTCTGAACTTCGTCGGCGCCTCAGCCGATCTCAGGGACACCATCGAAATCCGGCCGACCACTCCGTCAAAAATGACAGTTTTGGGCTACGAACTGGGCTAGGAAGTGTACAACATAGAATCATGCTGGGCGTCTCCATGGTGTTCTCTACTCTTTCCTGGGTTCTCTCGTGCACATCTCCCAACTCAGCTGCAGTTGAAGCACCATAGATGTAGTGATTCAACCCACCTGATGAATTCGACAGCTTGCGTTCACGCTTCCCCGACGGACAGCGTGCGACCGACGGCGTCGGACCGTCTCTCGGGACACGCGAAGGACGGTACCACTGCTGGACCTGTTCCATGGTTGCTCGAGCATGCTCCAGTGCGACCGGACCATGGTTTCTATACAGTTCCATTGCCGGGATTCACACTTTACGATAGAAAGTGTTTTTTGGGGCCCCCAAGGGTCCTTGTTTGGAGTGTGAGGACAGTGCACAACCGCAAATTCCGATGAAGTGGTCTGTGGAAACTTCGAGCCACGGGGTTGACAGCGAAGATCGTAGATGGTACAATTTTGCATTCAGATCGCCAAGGACTCTGAAATGACTGGCTGTGAGGGCTATATAAGAATGGGACATCTGGTGGTCCACTGGTGGTGGGTCCTTTTTGTGTGGACAGGTGGACTCCAACATGTTCCTACACATGAACAAGCCGTCGTTGGACAATTGGAAATCTGTGAAACAAGTGTGCATAACTGTGTGCATAATGGTCATGTCAGTCAGTTGCTGATGGAAGTCTTCCTGGAACACTAGCAGTGAGTTGCACGACCCAACATCTTCCTTGGCTGAGCCTCGTTCGGTGATCTTCACACCTGCAACCACTACCCGGGTTTTTGGTCCTAGCCATCAATTCCCGAATCATCGGATTCTTGAAATCTGGCCGGACCAGTCGGAAACCCCCAAACTTCACTCTGCCATTCAGTTGAGGCCGTAGAATACTTGATCAAGAAAGAACCCTCCATATGACATGGAGAGGTTTTACAGTCCACGTGGGAGGCTCTTATTCATCAAGAATCTTTTTTCTGACCTCTAAACATCTCGTCCCTAATATATCTCCAGACCCTATACATTGCCCCAAATATCCCCAAATCGAGATCTCGCCCCGGATCCCGAGGCACCCCAAGCCGACGCGTGATGTCTCACACCCTGACTGGGAGCATTACCTCGACAGAAAGCAAAGGAGGTGCCAACGGGAGGGCGCGATGATCGGTGATGTAAGAAAACAATAAATGTATATGCCTTATATTGTTTATGGTTGTTGCTTACTTATATGATTGTGTACCTCTATCATTAATGTATGGTTATGTTACATATATATATATATAGTCGTTACCACATTACACTATCTCGATACTATACCGATACTAGAATGCATTTAGTTATATATATGTTACATTATAGAGATCTAGTGCATCTCCAGAAAACATGAGTGCCGCTGTACTGTGGGTCGGGTGGAAGGGGATCGGCCTGGGGTAGGCCATTTTGCACTATCATGGCTTCTGGTGAAAAGTCCACTGGACCATTTGCAAGGCATTTTATGGGGAAAACCTCTCTATAGAATGGGATGTCCATCCTCGGGCCCCCATAAAATGCCAAACCAAGTGTGTATATATATATATATACATAGTTACATATATATATATATATATCGACAAAATTCTATACAATGAGGTGACCAACCTTAAGCAGTGTTGAATAGTGTTGAAGCAAATCCAAATAAGCTTCTCCATAAACATGAACATGGAATTCCACGTGTCTTATCTTCTATGAGCCAGGATGACCGAATTGAAAATGATCCCTCTATAAAATGCCGTGTCAGGTTTTAAAGCCCTTTTTCTTCAAGGTATCCTCACTATAGAATGGGCACCTGAAATTGCAATTTATAGATGCCAATGGCACCCATGTTTGAAAAAGAACCATTCACCTGGTATCTACCGTCAGTATTCTACCCGCCCCTCCCAGGGCCCTCAGTCCACGAATCTTCGTCATCGAGATGCCAGCCACCACTTCCAGCTGCCCCGACAAGCTCCAGCCATCCGCGCTGTTCGCCTTGTGCCCAGCGTCGAGCTGAAGCTCGGCCAGCGAGACTGGGTTTGATGTTTGGGCCACGCATAAGCCGGTTTTCACGAAGTCAGGTTGACTTCAATCGGGTCCACCTCTTGAGTGACCTAAAAACTACCAAGGACTGGGACTGTGGGTTCCACGATGTTCCACGCAGCGTGTTCCAAAGCAATCTGGGAGCCTTCAAAGTTCTTACAGCAATCTTTCCTGATAAGGCTCTCTACTTGGTGATCTTCTCTTTGTGTGTGTGTCACATGTATCACGGCCCAAGGCCAAGCCATGCCAAGCCCATCATTTGTACTTCAGCCCCGGCACCAGGCTGAAGTCCGAGCCCGCAATCTGCTGCTCCGGGTTCGCCAAGACCACCAGGCCCGGCTCACTCCGCGTCATCACCATCTGGGAGCGCGAAACACTCAGAGTGTTGTTTCATGGGACCTGCGCCTGTTCAGCCCCCTTGACCACTTTGATCACCTCAAGTTTGGACCGTGTGATTCTCTCAATCTCTCCAAGCGTGACACTTGGTTCGCCCCTCACGATTCTCCGCCATCAGATCCTGGACACATTGGGCGAAAGCAGGGCCTCGCCTGGCCGGTCGCCTCATCGCGGAGAGGTGACTCCACCACAAAGGTAAACCTGCGCCGGGCGGTTAAGGACCAGTGTTTCCGGTGTTATTTTACAGAGCGACCTACGGTCGTGACCCGGAGCCATGTGTTGGTGAAAGTGAGCAGGTGTGCAAGCTAGGCGTTGAGCTCTCCCGAACCGAAAAAGGTGTGCATGACTTATTTGCTGCAGGGTCACAATCCCTGCTATGGAGGGTCCATAGTTTCTCGGCTCTTAAACATGTTTTACACAATAGTGCTGCTGCTGGTGACTCTCATTTGCTTTCCTGAATTACAGTACTAAAACGGTGGTCGTGATTAGTTTCAGCGGTACTAAACGGGGTAGCCGCTGACCAGTGTCATCCCAACGGCAGTGACTGACTGCTTAACCACATGTCTTCTTCATCCTGTGCTGCACCAAAAGGAAAAACATGGTGCCATGAACAAGCGACTCTCCCGTGAGGGAGTGATCATTGGAGTGATCATAGCCGTGAGGTCAAAAGCAATGGAGATCGAAAAACGATGGTAGGATGTGGTAGGTACATACTTCTCTCTCCTCCACTGCCAACTGCTGGTCATTCTACTGGATGGTGATCACCCCCACATCACCCCACTGACACACAAGGCGAGTCGGGCCCAGTAAAGCCGAACAAAGTACCCTTGCTCAGATCTGATCACCCTGACTTGGCGTGTGGTTCTACATTTGTCCCATTATTCACACCCCGAAGGCTTAACATAGTTGATGCGAAGAAAAGTAGACCCCAAAAAAGGCAACACAATGTTTTCTTTTGGAGGGCTGTTCTCTGGCTTCGTGTTTATCTTCATGCAGCAATCACTGCCTCTTGCTATCATACTATGATCCCTCGTCTTTGCGAATCCATCCTGTCAGTGTCAAAGGATCTTCCCACATGCCCCACCCACAGAAGAAGCCACGTCAAACTGCAAAATTGCTTCTTGGGTGCGAGGACTTTCATCCGAAAATGTCCAAAGGAATGGGCGAATCTCCAAGAAATCTGCTTCTGAAGCAGGCAGGATTCTCTCTGAGCAGTCCTGCAATATCCTGCGATAGAACTGAATCTGAGAAACTTTGGTAACATTGGCATAAATTAATATGATAATATATGAGCCACGGTCAAAAACTTAGTGCCACGACGGTCAAAAATTATTGTTCTTCAACATCAACAAAGAAACAGTCATTATCGGTTTTGAGTTGGACCTTATCGTTTTACAGTGTTGTGAGTCCGCCCCATACCTTTTATGGTGGACCTTATCGTTTTACAGGGTTTCGTGCACAAACGTATCCCTCTTTAATAAAAGTTGTATTCAAAAAATGATCCTGGCTCGTATGATAATATGATAGGTTATAGGCCAGTGATAGGTGTGTTTTCACTTGATGCCAAGTCACGCGGTCCAGGCATTAGGTGTTGGCCACTTGTTGGCCGGAGGCACGTAGACCACCTGAGTATGGCGCAAAAAAAAAAGGCGCACCTCCATTGGAAAGGGAACCCGGGCACCCCTTGAATTGCCCGAATGTTGAATGTTCCTGAATATAACATGTCCAACCCCCAAAAAAACATGTTCATAGATGCAGGTACCGGTAAGTGTCAAACAAATTTTTGCCGGCATTGTGCCATCCTGCCCTCACCATGCTGCCGATCCATTCACTCATCCGGCTCATCTCCCCTTGCATTCTACAGCTTTGCCATGCTTGACCCACGAAAACAACTAACGCCCCAACATGGACCGCCCTTTCCCTCCACCCACACGGACCGTCCGACCCTCTCCGCCTCGCCTGGTGCTTGGGGTCCGTGACCAGCAAGGGCAGCAAATGGGGACCGATCGGCTCGGGCGCCATCAGCGGCGCCGAGCCGAAGCTCCGGAAGTTGGGCGACGTCTCATAGAGCCTGAATGGGTCGGCTGGAGGGCGACCGTGATGGGCGCCGCGGAAGCGCTGGGTTCTGGGCTCGAGTCGCTTGAAAGAGGGCGGAGGGTGGAACTCAAAGGACAAAAGCCTTGACTGAGGTTTGGAGCTCACCCAATTGAGCGACAGTCCTGCAATCGATTCCAAAGAGATGCACACCAAGCTCCAGGACAAAGATGCCAAAGAAAGGGCAATACCATGCAATACCGTTACTAGAGCAGCCATGCTAAGAAGGCGTTCAGCATTTGGCATGGCATGTATGATTTCATCAGATTTGGCATGTCAGCATGTGTCAGCGTTGAAATGGTCTTGTTCAGGTCCTCTTCACACGGGTCTTCAGCCCACTGAGTCCCTCGTCGGGATGGTCCGAAAGTCTGAGTGCCGGACAGGCCCTCTTCTGGCAAGGTCAAGATGTAGTAACTGGGCCGACTTGGCAAGGCCGGTGGGTGCAACGATTCCCAAGGAAGCTTCTAGCTCCTAGTAAGCTGATTCTTGCTAGTAGTACGGCCAGGAGCTATTAGTAGCGTCCTTGCTCCTAGTAGCGATGCCCTTTGCTGTACACACCAAAACGGGCCCTACATGGTCCTAGCAGTTTTTTGTTTTCAATCAGCGTCACTGTTTCAGCTCTGCAGGTGGTCAAACTGCTCACTCAAAGCCAAGATTACCCAACGTCTTTTTGCATAGCGTTTACTTCGTGTGTGACTCACTTCACAAAATATCCCAGGTCCTAGAGCTACTTTGCTACCCAACTTGCACTGGATAAGTCCTGCACGTCTGCAACCACATATGTACTTGAAGCGGCACATCTTAATGCTGAGACTTGAGGCCAAACGGGGGGGGCGAAAGCTAGCGCTCCAGAATGGGAAAGTGGAGGGCAGCGAGGTAGGAAAAAACACGGCGCTCTTTTTGGAGGCAGGGGTGAAGAGTCCTTTATATGTGGCTCTTTGCCCGGATCCTCCTGCGAGAGAAGAGAGAGAAGAGAGACGGAAAGACGAGAGACAGAGAGGAGAGAGAGAGAGAGAGAGGAGAGAGAGATGAGAGAGATGAGAAAGAGATGAGAGAGATGAGAGAGATGAGAGAGATGAGAGAGAGAGAGAGACAGTGAGACAGTGAGAGTGAGCGAGTGCGGCCGCAAGATACGCAACGCTAACCGCATGCCAAAGAGCGACGACAGGACGGAGTCGAACTTGCGAAGAGGGAGGAGGGAGGGAGGGAAGGTGGGAGGAAGACAAGGAG